ATGATTAATGCTCCAATATCTGCTTAATTACAAAGTGCATGTCGGTCACCAGATGATTTCTAGGCTGAATTTAAAGTCTGAATATTTTCCTGTGAAACATGATCTGGATATCCTAAATGTGAGGATGAGGGATATGTGTGTTGATAGCTCACTGGGGTAAAAAAAATGATTAAGTTGTAATGGTTTGGAAATACAAAGTGGAAGATACCATGTCTTGTCCTTAGTGCATTTGATGAGACATTTCTGAGTGTTTTAAAACTAATCTGAAATTTTAATATTTTTTGTGAAGGAGGTATTTAAAGAAAGATGGGAAGTGATACGGCTTTGTCTGAAGTTACCTGAGCAGGTAAAACCTGCAAACATAACTGTGCCTTGTGAGAGCCTATTTGTGCTCTCAGATAGTTCTGGTGAGCTACTTGCTTTTGTAATCATTTGCAGGATGGGGCCCTGAGGCTGTTTGTATTGTTATCCAGTAATATTACTGGATTAATGTGTCTGCGTAGTTTGTGTATCGTAATCATGACTTAAATATAGCTCCTTGCCAGGCAGGGTGAGGCAGCAGTGGGAGGCTTGCAGTGCAGCCGAGGGGTGACCAGGGAGAGGTGTCTGGCTCTGCGGCACCTTCCAGAGCTTTCAGCAAACACCAAAAACCGCGGCAGAGCTGCTCTGCGAGCACAAAAGTTAATTCCACTTAAATGGGACTTAAGGATGGCTAGCTGCAGCAGCTCTTGGGGTGGCTCTGTGGGAAGCAGCTCACAGCAGGCATGTAACAGCACCACGAAGTGTGTAACACCACCATCAAGTGTTCATCGAGAGCTTTGATTGAGAGTTGGTAATGAGGGGTCGTGGTGGTCTGGAAGGGCTCCGAGGGCTGACAACAGCGGGCACAGCCTGGTGCGGTGCGGCAGGGCAGGGATGCGAGCGTCGCGGCGGGGAGTGCTGCGGCAGGGCGGCAGTCTGCATGCAAAGTGTTGGTCTGGCGGCAGGTTAGTTTGGTTAATACGGTGTATTTACGAGGTGTCCAGCTTCTGAGGTCAGGAGGGGATTTCTTGTGGCTTTTGGGGGATGTTTGATGGAGCTTGGTGATTCGGTGTGCGTGGAAGTGAAGGTGACAAGTTTTGTTCCTTGCTGGTGTGTGGCCAGTGTCATCGTGGTGTGTCACCCTGCAGTGTATCTCACCATGGGTGCCTTCAGGTGGGGCACTGACCTACAACTGGTTACACGTATCTTCTCCAGGGTAATACCGTCTGTTACTCCAGTGCTATATAAGTCATTATTTGTAATGCTGTACTCTGTGCAAAGACGTAACCTTGGCCAGTTTATTTCTGGTTATGATTTGGGTGATGTCAGTAGTTCAGCGTCATCCACTCTGTACTTAACTCTCAAAACAGCTATAATCTTGTCTCCTTTTGTTTTTCATAGTGCACTGGTTTAACCTCTTGTCAGAAGAGGATAAAGATTTGTTGAAAGGTTAGAGTTATATCTTGAAGGCTGCCACAAACAAAACCTAATTTCATACTTAATGCAATAATTCTAGAGGATGGTGTCAATGAGGACATAATTCAAATAATTTCTAACATGAAAATCTTTAGAAATAAAACTTTACTTAGAGATTATTGATTTAGTTACAGTCACATTGGCTGCTTCCTTGCTTTGGTCGTGTGTGCAAATCTTAGACAAAGGGTGGGGTTTTTTCTTCCACTTGATGTGAGTTTAGTCTGTTCAAGCTGCAGTGCAAATGGATGGGATTCCCTTTGAACCAGCCCTTGGCCAGAAAACCAGTGAGTACGACTCAAAGCTGCTGTACAGAGAAGGAGAAGGTGTTAATTCATCCAGGTTTTAAATGTGCCTGTTCCTGGCATAAAATAGCCTGGCAATCATTTGACATCAGCCACCCTGCAGAGCAGAATAGGACAATGTCATTGTCCATTACAGCTGGTATCAGTTCAACTTTGAATTTAAATGTGCCAGCAAAATAGAGGAAAGACAGACACCCTTCTGTTGCCTGCTGCACCTGTCTCCACTTCTATGGAGTTTGGGCTCTACTAGCTTTTAACTTGGCACCTTCTCAGCGTATTGGGTATTTATTTCTTTGAATACAGTGCAACAATTTTTCATGCTACTCTTCCATGCCACTCTTTGTAGCCCTAGGGAGATCACACTTGCGGATTGGTTAAAGAAGATAGCGTTGCCTTGGTGCATTTTTCCGTAGCAGTAAGTAATGTGTAGTCTGTGTTAGTTAATAGTACTTGGACAGTTATGATTTTGTGGTGCACAGCCACTCAGGCTGACTGGCTCTTATGCCAATGTTTGTTGGGGTTTTTTGTTAGTTTTGTTGGGTTTTGTTTTTTTTTTTTAAAATCCACAGCTTTCTCTTATCGGAATGTGAAAATCACAACATTAGCTGATCTGATTTCTTATTCATTGCCATCTCCTCAGCCTGCCAGTACAGCATTACACATGTTATTAGTAAAAGAAGAATTAAAAAGTGGAGGAGCAGAAAGATGTGAAAGACTGGAAGGAGAACTGGTATACTGAAGTCTCTTCTGGACAGACTCTGGTCAGCTGGCAGGAGTGGGATGTGCATCTCCCCTTTTTCTCCTCCAGCCAGAGGCTCAGCCTTTTAGAGCCAGCTTGTTCTTTCTCCTTACTGAGATTCAAATAGCCAGAAATTGTGGAACTTCCTTCATAAAGCTGCAGTACCCCCGTACCCCTAACTTACTGCCTTACTCAGAGCTTGGACACCTCCAGCCACCCTCAGCTTTCAGAAATCATGCTCCAATTTTGTTTTCTAATATACAAGTTTGAAGGAAGCCACTGCTGTCCACAGGTAACCCAGGCAGCATCAGGAAGCTAATGCAATTTCTCATATTGTATCTGTCATCCCCTGTTTATCGTTTCTTGTATCTCTATTCATATATTCCTGTTTGTAAAATCTTTCCCTTTCCTGTTGCTATGGTAAAAGCCTGCCTAAAAAGGAAGAATTATAGCAGCAAGATCCACTGACCTACAAAATAATCAGAACATAGTTGCTCTGTACAGAGCTCTGCTTTTAAAGTAACTGGTAGAAAACCTGTGGTGGGAAAGGGAGATGGCCAAAGTACAGGAACCATGTACACAGATTTGGATTTAGCCAAAACTCCAGCTTATGGGCAAGATTGTTGCTTCTGATCCGTGAATCTGTACAACTGGTTTCCTATACGCAGGAATTTTCCACGATTGCAATATTAATAGTAGTGGACACCCAAAAAAGCAGTCTTGGGTTTTTGTCTCTGTTAATAACCTTCCAGCTCCAAAGTGATTTTCTCTTCTATGTACATGAATGTCATTGATAAGAGTGTTGTATTACAGTGGCTCATCCTTGCTGGAGGCATGGTCCTTTTCCAATGAACTGATTTGGAATGAAATGAAAACCAAACCATGAATTTTTTGGTTCACCTCCCAGGCTATAAAAATGATGATCTCATTAATGATTAACACAGCAGCTGGTAGCTCAAAGGAGATCTGGAAGAAAATACTGCAGTGTCTCCCTCCTCCAGTAAATATATTGGCTTAACAGTTTTCTGTGCTCATACTACCTTATTTCAGTCACTACCACATTTGAATCCCAGCAGAGTGGATCTCTGCATTGATATCTGCTTTAAGGTCAGTGAGGATGCATTAGTTCCTAGCTGCATCAGATGATTTTTGAAATGTTATTAGTACTTACTGGTTTGCAGTTCCCTGTGATGTTAGTAGTACTTTTTAGAATGCTTTTCTATTTCAAGCTAGAGAGGCATCTAAGATTTCCATGCTTCATGCTTACAGCATGGTTACATCTTAGGAATCGAGTAAAAGTTCACAACAATTTTGCAGTTATATGGACATCACTTCTGGCATGTTGATTTGCTATCGATAAGTCCTTGTTCTAGCGTTAAACTGCTTAAAAAATATATACATATATTGTGGTCACAAAATGTTTGCTCCTGTGTTTACTGCACAATGTTGGATTACACTATGCCTGGGCAGCTGACAAAACTCTAAAGAACCAGTCTCTCCAAAGAAACAGAGGGATGCTTTTAGACTAAGTGTTCCCAGAATGTGATTAACTGCTTAGCACTCAAGAAATGAAAGTGCTTAAAAAAAAAAAAAACAAACCACCAACCAACCAAAAAAAGACAAAACCCAAATGTAAAAACCCTACCACATAGCAATTTTGCATATGGCAAACAGTGGTAAGAAATCTGGAGGCTTTTCCCTGTTAGTCTAGATGATAATTATGAGCATATATTCTCTTCTAAATTGATTGATTTTGGTTTATGTTAATAAATATACCACAATCTCTGGAACCTTGTGCAAATTTTCGAATAACTGTCTCTAAACATAGGTACGCTTTTTCCTCAATATTTGGTGTAAAATGTTGGTGAATGCATATATAGTCCACCAGTTCCCTCCCTGGCAGAGATGAAGCGGATACAGAAGCTCATCTGTGCACAGTTATGATGGACAATGCCTCCAGCGTTGATGACAAGGTTGTTTCCATGGTGTACGTGATGGTACCAGCCAGCACGGTCCAGCTGGCAGTCAGCAGGCTGATCCCGGCCCAAAGACTGCTTGTTCATCCTGCCATTTTTCCGGGCAGCAGAAGGAGCTGCTGCTCAAACAATTGCATCCCCACCTCCTACAAGGAGATCACTCCAAGCCAGGTGTTGTGCTAATGCTGAAGGCCAGGAAGAGGATGGGAGAGGAAGGAGGCAGGTCTGCTCACGTGAGCCCAGCAGTGTCCTGAGCCCTTGCCAGAGCCGTTTGTGAGACTGGCAGCGTGTGGGAAGATGCTAGGACATAAGTGTGTGGTGGCAGAAGTGAGAGCTGCTGTGTCCCACCACAGGACCTGAAATATGGCTCCGGCTGGTGCAGCTGTGAACTACGCTGCAGTGCTTGTAATTTTGGTTGGTAACACTTGACTCTCATTTGCTTTCACTGACCTGAGTGGATCTGTGCTTCTTTCATTAGAGATCCGAGCTCAACTCATCGAGCAGCAGAAATGCCTGGAGCAACAGACTGAAATGAGAGTGCAGCTTCTTCAGGATCTGCAGGATTTCTTCCGCAAGAAGTCAGAAATAGAGATGGAGTATTCCCGAAACCTGGAAAAATTGGCAGAGAGGTTCATGGCAAAAACAAGAAGTACAAAGGATCATCAGCAGTACAAGTAAGAGAGATTTCCTTCCCCCTCGCCCGCATGTTAACCATTGCTGGAGTGCTCCACCGCTCTTTGCTTCTGCTGGTTTTGAATATTGCTAGGTTGAGCCAGGTTCAAAGGCACATTTAAAATTCCCACCCCTATTTAGCAGCATAGCGGTTCTTATTGCAGTTGGAGACAGAAGAATATTGCCTAAACACTGTTTATTGATTTGGCCCTCTGCAATTATTCATGTAAGCTTCTTACAAGTGGTTTCAGTTTCTTAAAAGGTAAGCTGCACAAATATTATCCCTAACCTACCATACGGAATTTAAACCACTTAAAATACAGCCAGGATCTAGAAGAGATGCAGAACCCCAAAAGGGCTTGAAAGCTGTGTGCTGATCTGTTGCAGTGGAGTTGGCAGGATTTGAAAATGTCTCAATAGAGGTCAGTCATGATTACAAAAAAAAAAGGACAAGAATTTTGGCAAAAAAAAGCATTAAGAAAAAAAAACTATTTTGATTTGTTGTTGCATGTGAACTTGTGCTGCCTCTTGACCCCTCTTATTCCTGGAAATGAAGATGATATGAATGTTATGCCTTGCTTACAATTTAACATATCCCTTTCATGGCATAGTAACTTGTGTGCAAAGCAGAAGCGGTCAGGTAGTATCTGGCAAAACGTTGTGTACGGCATGTTTTCTACAGCATTTCAAATGCATTACTTGCTGGTATAGTCTCATCTGGTTATTTTCCTGACTTGAACTGATTAATGAATGCATTTGCCAGGCCCTGTTATGCTTAGGGGTATAAAACCATATTTTGTGTTTGTAAAACTGAAAAACAAATACCTTTTTCCACTGCCCAGTTAGTGCCATGCTAGAGATACATGGATAGAGCTTTTGTTTCAGGACAAAAGCCTTCTCCAAACACATCTGGCAAAGGAAAGGTGAATCCAAATGCAACTTGCACAGTTCGAAGAGCAGTAATACATATTTCTTAAAATTCAGTTAAATGACTCAATGTTTCTCTGAAATGACCAACGTGTGCATATGTCACCACTTCAGAGAGAGCCCTGGCTTTTATTCAGCTTGTGGCAAAATCTTTCTGCCTTGTGCATACAAACATCTTTCCTCGTTCTTAATCGTCTTAAATCCAGACTGGCAGATGTGCACGAGGGTTATGACTGGAGTCCTGCCTTTGGCTTTGTTCTGCAATTCTCTGCTTTGAGAAGAGGTTGCAGAGAAAGTCACTTTAACTGGCAGTCCCGTAGTGCTGTTCCCACCGTTCCCCCCAGAACAGGCAGGAAGGTCTGGGAGATTGGCTTTGGGACACGCAGAAGCAGTGAGGACCAAGTAAGATCAGTGTGGCCCTTCAGGGCTGCTCCCGTGGGCTGACCTGGCTGATAAAACCCTGCAGCTCCTTGCTCTGGGTGACAGCGTTAAGACGTCCGTCTCCAACAAAATGGAGAAGTTTCCTTAACTCGCTCCTGATTCATTGCAAAGCAATGCAGTGATGATTAAGAAAAGACTTTTGTCTGCTAATCATTCGATTTTGCTTTGATTCTGAGGGCGAAAGCTAAAGGTATACAATTAGATGAGGAATTAAGGGGCATATTTTTAACAGTGAGAATAGTTAATTATTAGAACAATTTACTAAGAGTTGAAGGAGTTTCTCCCTCAATTCATCACCACCTCTGGCTGTTTTATCTTCGCATGCTTGATCATTTTGACTATAGGAGAATCCCTGCACAAGAGGGAGAAAAAAAAAAAAAAAAGAGCAGCAAGTTTCTAGAGCACTTAGATGCAAGGCAAACTGGAAATTAAAATTTCAATAAAATCATAAGGCAAATTTTATAAATAGTTTTTTGTTGTCTGTGAAACAGTTGTTGAACTACATGTATTTTTATTTTGCTTTGTGTAAAAGAAATGAGAAGTCATCTGTGATTTCACATCTTGCGATATTAAAAGCTTGGAGTGGGCCTACAATGCAAAAAGTCTGTCACGGAAATTCAAAACTGGACTGCTGTAGAAAAAGTCCCGTCCTTCTGTTTGTGTTGTAACTGAACCATCTGGGCCTGGCTGTAGCAGTGTATTTACGAGCCCTGTGAATTTATGAATGCTGATCACAGAATACATGTGCTTGTGACATTTCCTTCTACTTTTGTAGCGTTATACAAATCTATTGTGGTGAAACATCTACACCTGCAATTTTACTTGGGAAGAATTTGGGATGCGCTTGCAGTGCTTGTTTATTTCTAACGTCAAAAATTAATTACTGTTACTCTTTCAGCAGTGACCTTTATTGATTTTGAATATTTGCTTCTACTCCATCTGTAAGCAACTGTAAGCTTTGTGGCAAGATTTTTTTTTAACAGTCTCGGGTAGCTTGCAGTGTTCTGAATTCTTACACTTTTTCTATATTGTTGTATCCATGCCTCATGGGATTTGTAGAATGTGTCTTAAAAGTGATCTGAAGTTTGCCTAACCCCAGTTATTCCAAAAACGGATTGAGTGACTGTTCAGAAGCAGCCATTTTTACGTAACAAGCTATGACTGTAAATGTCAGGGAGATGTTTGTGTTAATAACATAACTTTTTAATTTCTATACATAATATATGTGTGTATCTCCTCCTTAGGAAAGACCAGAACCTCTTGTCGCCAGTGAATTGCTGGTACTTACTCCTGAACCAAGTGAGAAGAGAAAGCAAAGACCATGCAACGTTGAGTGATATCTACCTGAACAACGTGATCATGCGGTTCATGCAGATAAGTGAAGACTCCACCAGAATGTTCAAGAAGGTAATGCCTCTCCTGCAGTCCTCCAGCCGGGCTTGTAAGATGCATGAGGGAGGGAAAAGTGTCCTAATAGGTAGCATTTGAGGAGAAGATTCAGCACACGTAGCATAAAATCTGGTTTAGCACACGTATAAATTCTTCATGACTGTTCTCACAGAGCAAATCCTTAGTGCTGAAATGCCTGGGAACCTGCTGTATATGCTGGTGACCTTAAGAGCTGAATCGCAAATATCCGAAAGGCAGGGAAAAAAGCCTGTTCTTCTCTCAAAAGCACACTTGTCTACCCAGGCAGAAAGGAAACAGTTTTTGCTTAGGACTCCCAAAATAGTAATGCTGTATTAATGAATTATTTGTAAAAACAGTATTTCATTGTAACTGTCATGAGAGAAACGGATTCAAGCCAAAGTAAGGGTGTGCCTTGTAGTGTCTTGGCATAAAGATGATAGCCTACGCTGCGGTTCTCCTAAAAGTGTTTCCTTTCCTTCCTGATATTAAATATGAACGCACACTTTTGATAACATAACCTCTTCTATTAGATCATTTAAGCATTGTCTCTGCACATGTTTGTCCTTGTACATGCCCGTTACGTGTTTTCATAACACATACAATGTGTAAATCCCTCTTGTGCTAAGCAAGCACTCTGGGCGGCCTTAGTTTGAGATCTGCATAATGTGTTTGCAATCGTTGTTATAATGTTCCAAAATAAAAATAGATTATAAATGCATATCCGTCAGTCACAGTGGGATGCTGGTAAGCAAGTGTCATACAAAAAAAGAGTGCAAAAAGAATAAAGGTTAAAGAATGTAAAGTGTGTGACTAAATGATGGCAAGGGTACCAGACTAATGTTTTCAAAATAGGGAACTGGTTGCACATATACCTGACCACAATCCTAGGATAGATAGCAATGGGGTGAGGAGAAGAATCATTTAGGGAGAGCATAGGTTGTACTTGGAGGAAAAAATTAAAAACATGAATCAAACTTATTGGTGTGCTCTGTACTCTAACAGTAACAGAGTTGAAATTTATAGTTTCTCAATCAGTAATGGTCTGTTTGTATATGTCTGATGCATAAAACTGTAGTTCACAAACCACTGAATTTACTAATACAGAAGATTGTTGCAGAAGTTGAAAAGATAGTGGGAGAAGCAATTTGAGCATGCTGCAGTACTGTCTTTATGGAGATATCTCAGACTTGCTTGGACCAGTAGAAATTTTTCAGTATTGAATCTGAAATAGTTTTTCAGTCATTTATGTCCTATCTCAGAAATCTCTTCTTCGCTAGGTGTGCGTTATTAGACTAGCCTGTTTGCTTTCAGTGTAGTTCAGTTCTTTAGCACTGGAAATCTTGCTTTTCCTTTCCATCTCTCCAGGTGGATTGTGCAAAAATATCTAGATAAAGTTTTCCGTGGAGAAGTGTATGTCCTTCTTTATTCGCTCATGACTTATTAATGGAGATTGCTGCAGCTTATCTCTCGGAAGGAGAAAAACGTGTGGACATTTTCAGTGCATTAACAGGAGGCATATTGTCCCATCTTCCTGACAGACTTGTCTCTTTTCTCCCTGTCATGCCCAAGAACGTGCAACATTTCAAATTTTCTCTTTCTAGCATAGCTTCTTGAAGAAGAGCAAGTAGCTGCACTCTGCTTTTTTTTATTCCTAACTTGGATCACCTACAGGGGAAAGAAGTGAAAGGAAATTGAGGGAGTCCTGCTGTGCATAACCTGGAGCTCACATTAGTGGAGCCCAGATCCTCAACATCCCTATCCTACCTTTCAGCAGGGTTTGCCAGCTGACGCTCAGCGTGATAGCATCACATCAAAGGGCTGTTAGCAGCAAAGGCCGTCTGAAAGGATCTGAGCCAGGCTGGTAATGTGAGGGGAAGGGTGGCAGGAAGGCACGAGGCACCTCGGTATGGTGTAAGAGAGCTTCGTGGGCATGTGGCCTGAATGTGGCAGTGGTTGTTCACCGGTGTCGATTCTGAACATGCATTTTTAGGACAGTCTGTCAGCAATCAATACTGCTTGGAGAAGGTTGGTATTTCCACTGAGTTTGAGCGTGCACAGTTCTTGGTGTGGTGCTTGCTGCAGAGTACTGGTGATTTATTTGGTGTTAGCTCCCAGCTGCAGAACTCATTATACCTGATATAATGATGAAGCTCCAGTTTCTCTTCTGTGAAATGAGAAGGGAGTTATAAAATGAGGTGAACATCATTGGACAGACAGAAAACCAAGACCTATGCAGGAGGTGAAGCTGTTTGCAAATTGTCTTGCTTTATTGATGAAGAACATAATCTGTCTACATCTGTGTTTAGTCCGTATGGGCAGCTTCAGCCATAACGGTCTCTAAAGGTCCTTTCCAACCCAAACCATTCTATAGTTTTGTGATAATTTCTATCAGATGTGAACAAGCAGTCTAACTTAAGATATGTCACAGACTGCCTCAGAACTGCTTAATGGATGTCCACTGGGCAACGTGTCCTGTACTGCAGTCCTCGATGCAGGAAAGAGGTCACAGGAGCAAAGAGAAGGTGCACTTAGAATGAGAAAGGTGACATCAAACACTCTCCTCCATCAAAATTGTGTTCTCCCTAAAGAAAATGACGTGGAATTTGTTGGAGATCTGTAAACATCAAATAGAATATTTAACCAATTTCTGTCACTTTCTGTAGGTTACTTTTGAAAAAGACTGCGTTTGGAATAAAATTCTGTCGGAGAAAAGTATAATCAGTCTCAATGGGTGTCATCCCTATGACAGCCTATGGGATTTGTTTGCTGCTCTCAGATTTCAGATTAGAGACAAACTATATCCTGCAGATACTTCTCCACTGGGGTCTGATCATACTGTTCTATGAAATAGGTACTCGCTGTCTTACAAGTGAATAAGAAAGTAAATAGTAAGAACAGTAGTAATATGAAGATACAAAAAATAATGACTGACAAGTGCATGCTTACTATCTTTCTGCAGTCCTTGGTCGAGAGCAGGAAATACACCTGTCTAATGTATCTGTACTCCATTGGCTTTCACTCCATTGGCACATAGAAGCACTTAATATCTTTCTAAGTAATTTCCAAATACCAGCTAATCAAGCATCTCTATATTCAATAATTAGATCCTTAATTATGTATCTTCCAGTTTATTAACCTAATAGTGTTATGCATCACTATTATCGTCTTGTTTTAGTTCTCCCTTGGTCTTGCAGCAGCAGCCTCTGCATCCTTGGAGGTGCTTTAGCTCCACTTCCAAGTCTGAAGAGTAACTACACCAAGAGATCGCCATTGATCTGCTCTGAACCGCCAATCTGCCTGTTGCAGAAAGGGAAAGTGGCTCAGAGTGGATTGCCCCATTGCTGACAAGCAAGATATGGGAGACAACAGCAAAGTCACGCTGAGCTTCTTGGCTCTTTCTGCTCCCTCTTTTTGCTCCCCTTCTCTCCTCCTGAGGGGATGTGGCTTCCCATTCTGCCACATGGTAGCCCTTACTGGCTTTTTCCACCTCACTAGTGGGCACGTAGGTCCTCAAATGAAATTTCTCTATGAAGGGATCCCAACATTTTCTGGAGGGATACTGTTTGTATGCTGTCCTGAGATTGGCTCCAGCTGGAACTGTAGTACTGAAAAGATGAAACAATTTCCTCATTTCCTGGCCATGCTTACTGGTAGAGTATTGTTTTGTTCCCCCTCCTGCTGATGTCTCCTATGTGGGATACAGCACAAAGTCATGAGTCTGTAGCAACCCCTTTCTCTAGTTCTTCTGTAAAAGGTGTGTGAAGTACCCGGTATTGGTCTATACGAAATGTAGTGATGAGGGGTGTCTGCGCCTCTTGGTCTTTGTACCTTGCCCTTGTCTCAGTCTCTGTTCTTCCTCATTCTGGTTCTTCCTTTTGTGTGCATCTATACGTCTCTCTCAGTATTTGGGTTGCTTTGGTGAAATGATCCCTGTTGGTCCGACCGTACGTGTTCTGATGGGCCAGGATATATTGTATTCAGGTACCTGATTGTACGTGGCTTTCCTGTCTAGGCTGGCCTACATAACATGTAGATATTCATTAGTTTTGTTGTCCCAGGAGCTCTTCGTCATTCTTTTTTCCCGGGGTCAGAAACCAGCATCTGTTTAAATGTACTAAATGCAGGACAAAGATAGGATCTAGTTGAGAGATTTTGTGGCAATTATCTGATGCTATTATGTCAGGCCTCATAATTCCAGATAGGCACTTAAACTCTTCTTTTTAGAAAAGAAAATATAAAAGCAGTACAGATTGCTGTTCTGCTGGCCTTCATGCTGCACATAAAATTATGAACATAAAGTAGCAGAGTTCAAGCCTTGCATGCTTGCGTGTTTCTTCAGGCAGATGGGGTAGATGGCCTCATGGGGACAATTAAAGAATAAAGTAATAAGGAAAAATGTCAAGCAGAAGGGAAAAGTACTATGCAGAACATTTCATGCAGTGATTCTGGTTGCCCCAGCATTAATAATCAACTGTATAAACACATACCCACAAAATCCTTAAGCAGACTTGTATATTTATAATTTATAAACATGTATTTTCTTTGGACAGAAACCATAACGAGCCAAGATGAATATATCTTCCAATGTTTACAATAAAAGATGCTGGAGAAGCCAAGCACAATAAATATTTTAGTTCCATAATCTGGCTATTAACAAAGAATATGACTACCTGCCAAATCTATTTGACGTTACGAAGATTGTAGCGTATATAGAGATTTTTTGCATCATTTTCTTAAACATTTAAAGGTTTAAAAGGATAGCAAAGCTATTTGTTGCTATAGACTGGCAAATCTGGGACAGAATTTTACTATGAGTTGCTTATGTCAGTGTCACCGCAGCTCATGGAAGCTCCTTTAAAAGAAGGGTTTGCACATCACTTCCCCCAGGGACCAGCAGCAGACTCATTTAAAAGCAATAGTTACAGAATATTTTCCCTAAATGATGTAACTGAGAGTAGCGTTGTGTGTGCTAAATACAAGACACTAAAGAATTCCAGGAAGAACTGAAATGACTCTTAAATTGCAGTTAAAAAAAGCAAAAGAGTAAAGTTTGGGTGCCCCATTATGCTCTAGCTGAAATGGATAGAAAAATTCTTACAGACTTCAATGAAAGGGTATTAATGTGGAATAAAATTTTAAGTTTCTCAGACATTAATCCATGAATATAAATCTTGATAACACCGGTAGGACCACTGATGTGTTGAAAGTTGAGCAGATACTGAAAGGGTGGTTTAGATACACTGATTTGTCTGTTGCATGGGTGTGAGCTATCCTACTATTAGGTGAAAAAAATACACTACTGTCTCTTAATGCTTTGAACAGGATTAGTAACATATAAAATATTTTTAGGAAGAGTTTGCATGTGCTCTAACATTTTTATTATATCCTTTGTTCTTTTGGTTAATAGATGCTAACACATTTCTCTAGGACATAGTGAATAAAGAAGCACCTCAGTGATAGTTTGTCAGGTTTTAATGGCCTGATTAGAGCTATCAACCCGGCTCCAGGAAAATGTGCGCTGCATCTTACCTTCTGTTGTTTGGCTACCCTGAGGATAAGCTCCTAGAGGAGCACACCATTCAAACATGCTGAACGACTGCAGGGAATAGGTAGCATAAAAGAGAAATAGGAGAGCCATTAACCACTGAAAATAAATGCACTTCTTATCTGGTGCTCTAACGTGCTATATATTACACACTAAAAGCTGTATCGGTTGCCACTCGAGTCAGTATTTCTTGATCTTAAATGCTAATGTAAAATATTTTAGTTCTTGAAAACAAATCCCCTATATACTCCTAAGGTTAACGAAATATCCTGATATTTATTGAACGATTCCTACAAAGTCTCATCAGAAAGAGGCAGCAGCTGCCATGTTACCCATCACTCCAGGCACCCTCTGCATGTTGGAGTCCTCAGATGAGCTGGTGGAAGTTCACTCACCTGGGATCATGTGGCATTGCTAAGCTGTCTCTTCCTGATTTTTACTCTTTTTGCTGATCACCTCCCTCCCTCTCTTTTTGCTTGCCATCTTAAAGCTTATTGTCCTTTCCTAAAAACATCTCCCTCTTTCCTCTACTGTTGTCTCTTCCATTCACTTTCAAATTTACCTTTGACCAGTGTGTTGCCTGGAAGAGATCATGTATGTGTGGTGGCCAGTAATCCCGAGGGCTGGACAGCTTGTACTCAGTGCTGGTCAAAGCTCTGCAGGAGCAAAGAGAAGAAATAGGTCCTACTAAATAATGATCATTGCCCGAATCCTCAACTCATCTGGTGTCTGTTTGCATTAAGGTGTAACTGAAGAGCAGAAAAGGAGGGTGCATCTTTCAACGAACTGCTGTGTGCTTTGCTTACAACAAAATCTGCAGAGGGGAAAGAGAAAATTGGTTTGGGGTTTTCTGTCTCATATTCTCAAACAAACTTCTGCACTGCCAGGTTAAGGCATGCTGCCTTAGAGTTGGTGTTGCTGTATTTAGGCCTCGAGCTGTCATCAGCTTTGAGATGGTAGAGACCAAGAGTTGAAAGGGATAAGTTGCTTGAAGCTGGAGTTCATCTACATTTTTTTCCCACACATATATGCTTTCATCTTCCAGACATAATGTCAACCATTGCATTTGTAGGTTTTGTCCTTCTTTCTGCTAAAATAAGTTAAAGAACAGACGGCTCATATTCAGCACTATAGAAGCAGCTAGCCAAGAGAAGACAGGTGGCCACCACTTCTTGGAGCTCTGAGGGGATGTGTAAGCTGTGTCAGAGCTGCGCTGCTGACTTTTAAAGGCAGGGTGCCAATGTAAAGCAATGAAAAGCAATTCAGAATTTTTGCTAAAGCTTTTACTGTGTTTCCATACAGCAGCTTGCAAATCTGCAATCCTTTTCCAATTCTTTACAAGCACTCTGTGCACTGTTATGCATATGAATTTTTGTCCTTAATATTAGATGAAAATAATCTGATATTTGCAAAGAAATGGAAGTATTAAGCGTTAGGTTCTAGATACTTCAGTAGTAGAGCATAACTCATGAAAAATCCCAGACTTTGAAAAGTATAAGCAATAAGGAAAGTTTCACAGTAGTTCTGTGTAACTCGACTTCAGAGCATCTGTCTCACTGTGCCTTAACTACTCCAGCTAATGCCCTTAGGAATACAAGAATTTCACTGAAGTTTTTTTTTAGTTTATGTTTCTAGCTTTTTGTCAGTTAAAAATCACCAGCATTCACTCCAATCCTTACCTGCAAGATAAGTGATATGTCAAGTTCCTTAAAATACTGCCCAGAGTTAGTTGTATGACAGTAGGAATAGGAGAAAAAAAATCAAAATTTTCTGTTCCAACTACCGTATGTGTCTGTTTTATCCTCCTGGAAGACGCAGTGGGTGGGATGTGTGGCATGGTTCCTCCTCGTACGTGGGCGTTTCACTGGAAATTCCCATTCAGAAACCATTATTCCTGCATGTTTTAGTGATGGCCAAGTATGTGTCAGCAGCTTTGGAGATGAGTTGTCTCTGAGGATTTTTCTTTGGCTTCTATACAGATACAAAGTACTTCTCATAGCTAAGGCCATTATCTATCATGAAGTTGAAGTTTTTAGAAGCTGGGCTAATTATCAAGTTATTCACAGGAAAAAAAGCTGACATTTCCAGCATGGATTTTACAATGCTGAGCATCACAGAAGAAATGCAGCCAGGCTGTTTGCCAAGTCCCGTAGCTCTATTCTATAGCTGTTCTCCAAAGGCTATGGTACAGATGCCTTCAACTCTTGCACAGTTGCCACAATTTTCATCTGATTGAACTGCCATGCACAGCTAACAAAGGAATATATTTGAATGAGACTCCTGTTAAATACTCTTATTTTGACATACTTGCTTTCGTTAATAACTACTGCTAAACATTTCTTTTTTCTGGGTCAGAACGAAAGTAAAGACAGTCCAGAAAAGCTAAACAAAGCTGTTTCAGCAGCCCACTCTGTGGAATATTATGCAGTTGGGTATCTGTTTCAAAGAGGAACCACAATTATTTCTTGCATAAATATTTAGATAGTTGCATGTGCTGAAAAACAAAGACTATTCTAGATGTAAAATTGGGTGGGATGTCCCTCTAGAATATCACATTCCACGTGGTTTAGTTTTTGTATATATCATAGCAGTTACAAAATAGTACATAGTTTTTTCCATTAAAAAGGCTTATAACATTAATCCTGAACTTCACCCTTTCTGTTGGCACCTAATTTCCTGATGCTTCATGGGGAAACCTCTCAAATTACTTCTGAGTCTCCTTTTGGGAATCTTCTGTCCAGATGTTATCTGTCTACCTCTGCATCCCTGAATCATTATTTTTAGTGCTCTGTAATTCAGTCAGAACTGTGTCTTTGTGAACAACCTAGTGTTCACTATCTAGGATGAACGATGAGTATGAATATAAAGAAGCAAATGTATGCTGCAGTTTTTGAGTGCCTTTTTCTAATGATTTCTTTTTAATTACAGAGCAAAGAGATTGCGTTTCAGCTTCATGAAGACTTAATGAAAGTACTTAACGAGCTTTACACAGTAAGTACAGTAACTTACTTAGCTTATCTTACACAAATTCCACATTGGACTTCTTCTGTAAGCTTTAAGTGGCCTTTTATCTAGTAAGGTACCCCCCAGTGGAGGTGCTTATTTTTGTCTTTTTAAGCAAGTCTAAACTATCTCTTTTGGAAAGGCTTCTCACTTGTTTAGAATACATATGCTAATGCTTTCAGGATTACTCTTTACTTTCTACCCTTTTGCCCGCCAGACTATGCTAAGCCAGTTTATGATAAGTTTTGTTGACTATTAATGAGACATTTCTACTCAGAGCTTACCAGAGCAAAGCTTTTCCTTTTCTGCCTTGTTTTCGTCCATGCTGCCATCAATGTGGTTTGACTCATGGACTACACTCAGTAAAAATCATAGGTGCTTGCAGATCCAGTGCTGTGCTGTCTAAATGTTACTTCTGTGCCCTGCCCTGTCCCTGACTGGGATAAGTAAATATTAAAAAGAAAAATAGAGGGTTGTGTACTCTTTCCATACCATTTAGAGAGGTCAAGCACAAACCACTATGAGCGTTCTGGCAAGCTGCTGCTAACCCGCTGGAAAATCTTGAGAGAAGTTACGTCTGAACTTGTTTTCTTCTTTGAAACCTATCTACACAACTTGTTACTACATAATGATGTCTTGTCTACCTAATAACTATTTCCCCAAGTATTTTTTGAGGGCATATGTTCTGAGGAAGAAAGCAAGAGTTACTTTTTTTTAAACATAGCTATACAATGAAGAGGAACTGGTGACAACCACCTCTTATAAAAGTTGATTCCTGCTAGAGGAAGTTGTACATCTAAATTCTCTCTTCTGTCTGGAAGAACTGAAATATCTGTGCTCTAGTACCTGGTGTAACAATCTCTAGACTGCTCCCTTCCCTATCCTCAAGATTTTGGGGACTATAAAAAAAACCCACAATATTTATATCAAGAAACAATTTGTGATTTTAAGGATGTTTAGGAAGATGTCGGAGATTAGCTCTTATGCAGAGATCAGTCAAGCATTGCTTTTGTGCATCTTGTCAGTTTTTCTTTTGACCTAGGGAAAATTGTGCACCCATCAGTGGACAGGTTGAAGAACATTTGAACTCAAGAACAACTTAGGTGGCAAAAAGGAGATGCAAAGAAAATTAAACCTGTCACACTGCCCTGGGTTCTTTTGGATTGTAGTTATGGACAGAGATTCCTAAAACCTACCTAAACCACTTTTTTTTTTTTTGAGTGCTTTTCTTCGGGGCTTTTTTTTTTTTCTGAAATCACCACTGATTTTGTAGGGTGGGATACTGCAAAACCTTGTTGGCTCAGGCCTGTAGTCAGTGAATCCCAGTGCTGGGATCAGCTTCTGCGGAGCAGTGATAGCCACAGACAATTGTCACAGCTGCAGGGGATCAGCGACTGCAGGAGCCCTTGCACAAGTGGGGCTTCAGTGGTGAGTAAGCCCTGAAGATACGGTCTTGTTTCAATTAAACAGTTGTGTAACTCCGGTGCCTGGCAAGGCACGGGATTAGTGCCGGTGCTCCCAGGGTAGGAAAACAGTGAAGCATGTGCTGAAATACTTTGCTGAATCACCATTGAAAATCTGCAGGACTGGACTTTGGTATTTGCGCTCTTTTTGTTCACGCTAGTGCTATATCTTCCCACTGATGGCTACAGATTTATTCAGATAGTAACTTCCATGTTATGGCTTCCAGTGAATGCTAATTCCTTTCTCAGAATTTAAGATTTTTGTAAAATAGGAAGTTTTTTGAAGTTAATAAAATACAGAGTGTGTGCATAATTTGAATTAGGTTACTGCTGCAGGATGGTTTCTTGGGTTGAAATTTACTTCACCTCATTTTCAGGGCTCTGCTGTGTAGGTACAAATATCTTCGCTTGCGATCTGGGTTCCGATTATAGTCACTGGAAATCTAATATGAAGAGATCAGCCCTCTTTGTCTGATCAGATGCAAGCATCTGCTTCAGGAGAAATGATCTACACCATTAACTCTGTTGTCCAGCTTCTCACTGATTGCAAAGGACTTGATCAGCTGTAGATGCCCACATTTAGCCAGATACAACCCACACTTAGTGAAGTGGCTATATGGTGCAGAGTAGCATCTCTTCCACTGCTTGCATGCTTAGAACGATCATCAGCGTATCTGTGTAGTATATCTGCTTGTGTACATAAAGGTAGAACAATATCTAGACAGATGGAAACCCCATGCACAGGTTTTTAATTCTGTGTAACATTTACTGTTTACAGAATAAAATCATAGTGGCCTTACCAAAACAAGTATCTACAATTTTCATCTCGGGGCGGGTATGTTTCTCAGTCACTTCTGGTTTTTTTTAAAGGAATGGTACCTTTCTGAAGTACAACTGTTAAAATGTGAAGCCTTATTGGAGTTTAAATACCTTTAAAGCCATTGAGTGAGGGGAAGGTATCAGAGCTTTTAATGCATATGAAGAAGGGTTTAATAATCTATTTACTCCTTATTATCGTTCCTTAGCTTACAAGAAAGGTCTGTAAATTAAGGTCACCTTCCAGAATTAAAAAACAAACAGTTGTGCATAAAAGTGCCTTGAAGAGAAAGAGAGAAGAGAATTAAAATCACTAAAAGCTAAAGTAATAAAAGGTGCTTGTTCTGAGGCACAGGTATATAGTCAATGTAAAGAAATTGCATGTTTTATTTGTTACTCCTTGAACTTTGCAGATAGAGAGTGGGTCCCTTAGGCACATGTATTAAGATGTTACATGTCTGGATTTCTCTAATGATACGGGATCAAGGGCTGAATTAGATTCTTGTTTCAAACCCAAATGATGAGAAGCTCTACCACCCATCTCTAGCATGCCAGCCAGACCTGAGGCCTCACCACACCTACTTTCAGACTTCTCAAGCACCATATATCTTGAAACCAATTTATCTAGAATGATCCAGAATAAATGGGATGTTTAAAGGAACTGCTACTGATTTGGTCCGGATATTTTTAATGGAAGAGTTCAAACACAAGCTACTAAGTATCAGAATAATAACAGACTTTTCTTCTGGTGATAATGCTGTATCAAGTGGTCTGTAGCATAGAAGGTGTCAGGAAAAAAAGGTGACTTTGGGACCCATCTCTGAATATCTAGCCTTGCACTTCTGCCTCAGAAAATCCTTTTTAACATGTTCATAGGGCCAGATCTAAAACCTGCCGTAGTTAAGGAGTTGTGTCCATTGGTTTTGACGGGTTTTAGATCAAACAAGTTGATAAACAGTGCTGTAGATTTTGCAAAGAAGAAACTACTCTAAGAGAAGAAAATAATAAATCACTGAGAAATTGAAGAGACATGCCACCTTCCACCAAGAATGCATTATGAAGATTCTCAATTAAAAAAGCTTTCTGCTCAAAGATATTTTTTAACTTGTGAAAGTTTGAACCTCTGCCTTTTGAGAGGGAGACTAAAAACATTTTGGTTGCTTATTTAATGTGGAAAACACAGAACTGCAATGAAATGTCAAAAAAAATAAAAATAGACAGTTTGGAGTATTAAATACCTACTGTTCTTTAAAAATGCACACTCACAAAAGACCTTTCTCGTTTCTTACATTCTATGTAATTAGTTCCTTTTCACATTTTCATTACTAGGAATTATCACGGAAATAGGAGATTTGTACCATAGCTCTTCATTTAGTCCCTGGGAGTAGCTTAGCTTGTGTTGACTTTGGCTTGTACCATCCTCATTAAAATTACACGTCATGTACAGAATTGTTGAAAATATAAGAACAGAAGCAGGTGAACCACAGCTTCAGAAGATGTTCTAAGAACCTGTGAGCAAAGCAGGCTTATTTTGCTGGAGTAATCAGAATTTTGTAGGGGAAACTTTACTTTTTCATTTTCCATCTCTTTTACATAGAGAAGGTTTTCCTACATGTTATGTTACATATTTGTATGTTTTCTACCTGTTACGCACATTTTAAGACTCTATATTTCCAATTCTCAGTATTTTATGCACTGGTTCTTAAATTATGACTCAACACATCATGCTAAACACAATTGAATAACTAAGCTTCATTCTGTATCTTTGCAAGTTCCTAAAATTATGAGCAGTGAGTACTTTTAATTATGCATGGCTTCTCTCTGGCTGTGCCAGCCAGTCAGTATTTTCACGTCCGCAGCATCCCAGCTGCTGCATTCCTCTTTTATTCCTCTCCCTGCTACATTTTCAGCCAGTGTAGACTAGTCATTAGTCCCATGTTTTACGTAGGGATATAAGCTATTGAAACTAGAGTGAGGCATATCTTTTGAGTGAGTGGGGATGGGGAAAGAGGAGCCCAGGTAGTTGTATGGGGTCACAGAGCAGAGTTTATTTCCTGGCAATTACAGGAAAAATAGTTGGTCAAAATGAAAACTGTAGGAGATTTAGGTTGGTGTTTTTTGTGAACTGAGAGATTTAGAAATCTTCTTCCATGTTGACTTAAAGAGGCAACAGATTATTGATTTTACATCATCTGTGCAGCAGAGAGAGCTCCGCAGTCAAACTCTTCTCCCATTTCTCTGAAAAGCTAAAATACCTTCTGTTACCAGATCAAGTACTGGAATATGGCAGTAACGTCTGAGTGATTGGGAATGGTAGGAGACAGAAGGTAGGCAGGCTCTTTTCTTGCAATGGAGGGAGGTCTCCAGTGGATTTATTTAGGGGTCAGGGCATATTTATAATTTACCTCCAAAGGAGTCAGGGAGGGATCAATGAGGTGACAAGTTTGCTAAAAATACCAAGCTGTTCTGGTAATAAGGATGAGGGCGAATGGTGGAGAAAAGTGATGCACATCATAAAAATACATCTTCATGTCTCCCACTTGACTTTCCAAATTATTCCTACTGGCATCCTACTTTTCACAAGCAATACAAATGTAAGGTTTTCAGAAAAATGAGAAAGTAGGGACAGTCCGAAGCAAACAATTTAATATTAAAGAAGACAGGGCTGCTGTGCCGCTTGCATTTTCCATTACTTTATCTTACTCTTTAAAAATCTTGGCTGATTAATGTCTCAAGGTAGTTGCTGCCAGATTTTCTTTTTTCTTTGCTGAAATAGCACAGAATCTGGATTCTCTGTGGAAAAGTTAAGTTCAATTTAGTAGCACACCACAGTAGCACACCAGAGATCTGAGAAAGTGTAATCAGTAATTCTGTATTGGTAGTAATGTATCAGTGACAACTCCTAGAACTATGTTAGAGGTTGGGTTGGAAGTGAAGAGGATGCTGAAAACAGCTAATACTGAGCCTGCTTAACTGCTAGAGGCCACTGATGTAGTAAAATTGGCGTAGGTTTTTACTTATTTCTTGGGGAAAGTACTAGCTAACCTGATTTAACAAATCTCTTGCAACTTCACCTTCTGATAAGAGCTCACAACTTAGCAGAGACAATTCTGAAACAATTCAAACACGGTAATTGCAGCAGGGATGAACTACTGTTCCAGTAAACGCCTATTTCCTGCGAAATGCTGTGAAAAAGCTCTTGATTATACAGTTTTATTATAAAAATTGAGCATATGGTAACACATTGTATTGCCAATATATTTTAACTTTGTAGCATTCAGTCTTAGTATGTTGGGTTAAGAAGTTTTCTGGAAGTTTTCTAGAAAAGAAGTATGCATGTAGAAAACAAAAGCCAGCGCCTTGCTACGGGAACGTTCCTTTCTTGTAGCCCACAGGAGTACAGCACTAATTACTGTCTTGTTGATGGATTTGCCCAGATAACAATTGTGGGTTTAAATAAAATAATTATCTAAGGGTTTACTCTAATGTGCTCTTCCCTGTGATAAGTGCTATCTTCTGCCCTAAGCCTACTTGCTGAGCTCTTATGAAGCTGAAAATTTGGCACACAAAATGAGACATTTATATCACTAAGTGAACAGTCTGTCACCTACAAGTGGGAGAGTACATAGTTTGGGTAGCATAATCTTTTTTCATCTGCTTGTAGTCTGACTTAGTTATCTGACAGAAATCTGTATTTTACATCACTGGATCTGCAGAATAAACCTGCTAAATTAATAGGAGATAAACTCACTGTTTAATTTCGGAAAGGTACTAGTATGTGTTTAACAATGCTTGTTCACTACAGCGGAGGAGTGCGGCATATGTCGCGCTGACAGTTCAGCATCTGCAAAATTACAACCTTGCTCTCTCTTTTCAGTGCATACTTGATGGCTGATCAATAAGCACTTTGGGGACTAATTAAAGTCAGTTCAGTGATGGATACTCTCACAGGATAGTCTATCAGTTCAACAGTTTGGTAGACATTTGAGAAGCGGTATTGCTTATTTCATGAGATTATTTGTTGTTTGAATAACAGTTCTATGGATCTCTTACATATTCACGGATCAAAATATGTGGATCTCAGAACTCTTCATACAGCAAGTCTATTTACAAGAATTATGCAAGCCTGTTACTGTCTTTTACAGTATCTAACAGTCTTTTAAAAACTGTGGGGGGAAAAGATGGTATAGTGTTAAAAGAAAGAGTCAACTTAGCATGCAACGTAGCATGCAGATTCTAAGCTAATTTGTTGAGGAAGCGTGCACTGCAATACTTCAAAGCCAAGTCCCTAGCTTGTTCCCATTTATTTTCCATATGTGTCTGTCTGATGCTTTCTCAAGTTAAGTTTAGCTGCTGCAATATCAGCTCTTAAAAAACATTGACAAATCATGAAAAAGGCTGGAGCTGTCAGCTTTCCCTAGAGGCTTGCAAAATAGTGATGTCACTAGTGCGTGAGAGAAGCAGTGCTATCAACATAACAAACTGGACAGGAGTCAAATGCATAGGCTGATCATGCTCTGTACATAGTCTGTATTGATTTCTAAGCCAGTGTGACTCGGGTAGGACAGACTGTCTTGTCCAGCTCTGTGAATACTGCCAAAGGGAGGACTTCTTTTTCAATTTTAATTATCTGAGGAATCCTTTGCACCAAGAACTTGTGCAGAGTTTGTTGCAAGAACGTGGGTTTCAAGTAGACATCTTGGTTCCCCATAGAGACTATGACCTCCATGTAGTTCTCGCACAAAACTTGACTTTCAATCGGAGTAGAGTGAGGCACTCTGGATTTGGAAGCATGTAGTGTAAGCAGGCAGTGAGAGGAAGAAATACTCTTCAGTGATGAGAGGTTAAGGGAGTCAGCGTGGAGACATCTGAGCCTCTTGGTGAGGGCTGGCAGTGCTGTACTTGTACCCCTTCACCCAGCAAGGAGGCAAGCTAAAACGTCACAGCCACTGCCCAAGGACATTTATGCCTAGTCCACTAGGCTACATGGCACTCAGAAAAATTGTTTAAAAAAACTTCAGTGTTTGCTGCTTTTGGCAAGCAGAACAAATCCTTGCTTCACCACTTAAGTCAGATGCTTTGAGATGTGCTGTTAGGAAACACTAAGATATTATTGTTCTCTCCGCAGGCAGAAGAGCTGAAGAGAGTACAAAAGAAAATAACTTTTCTAGGTGGTAAGACACATGGGTTAGCCTTGTCCCACCGACTAAAAAGTCTCTGGAGTTGACATAGAACAAAAGATAAAAAATAAAAGCAAACACCTGTAGCCTACTGTAAAGAAGGGCTCAAAAAATTGAATAAAAAGGCCAAAAGAGAAGGGCAAAACCTTGTTTTTAATTTCCTTTTCCCATCATTTTTAATAGAGCTGAATTACTTTCTGTGCTTCCAAGATTTATTTTATAAATCATTTCTTTAAGAAGTGCATTTCTTTTCTTTGCAGTAATTCTTTTATTTCCATGTGGCTGTATGAGTTGGACTCCCTGGGCACAGATTATTGACAACTTTCGGAATGCCGTTGTGACAGTGCGGGACGTAGGAGGCTAAAGCCGAACTTACAGTTTGGTTCAGCTGGGGACCATGCAAGTCTGGGCTCTGTGGGCTTGCCTTCTCTTCCCAGTCCGGCTCTGTTTGTCTTTGGAGCAGGGAGCTCTGCTCTCTGGTCGGGCCTTGGAGCAGGGTTGCGCTGCGAAATAGCAGCGGCAGCAATAACACCGAGCCCTGCTCCGGGCAGTTTGGGTTTTTTCAGCAGAGAGCTGTAAATGTATGTTTCTAAAAATAGAAACAAGGCCATTTTTGATGGGTGTCACCAACTGTTTTACCTTACTACAGGAAGTTAGTGAAGAGTTAGTTGCCTGTTTCATTTTTAATATCAGTACTATTTAAGTTGTATCAACAGCATGGCATCACTATTAAATAGTTACACAGTTATATATATATAGTTATACACAGTTATGGTGTATAACGTATGCATAACATACATGGTTATGCAAAATTGCAGCTCTCTAAAAGCTTCTTTCATTCTGTTGCACAAGACTTTAAATATGCATCAGTTCAGCCATCGCCTGCCACGGCGTGCAGTTGGTTTGTGTTGATCCATGCTAAGCCACGCTGCAGCGAATTTGTGCTATCGAGCTTTAGTGTCCCATGTTGCAACTCCATGGATGCTCCTTAGGCTGGTCTAACTGCTCGGTTACAAAAAGTGCTCCTCTCCCTAGGGAATATTTCGAGGCAGCTCACCAGAGTAGTCTGTCTCCCCCTCTCCTGAGGGAGGAAGAGCCCGATTGATTCCTCTCTGGCTGTGTCCTTGGGAGGAGATGCGAGTGCCTTGCATGGCCTCAGCCCAAGGATAACATCTGCTGGTGAGACCTCTGGCACCCTGTGAAGAAGAGGCCGCCGGCCGCCTGAGGATGCCTTCCTGCTTTGTTCCTTGCTTGAAACTTCAGGCAACAACAAAAACCAACCAACCAACCAACAAATGATTAGGGAAGGTAGAAAGAGGCTTTCTTTGCTGAAAGTGGGCAGAGACAGCCCTCCCCAGCAGAGGTGGGTGGTTTGTGGGTGCTTGTTGCCCGCTACACAGCATTCAAGCTGGGGCTTTTCTTGCTTGAAGAAGAAAGGGAGGACTGGGCTGAACCAGTCCCTCTCGCTCTCTGTGGTCTGTAGCACGTATTTGCAGGCTGGCATCCCAGGCTGTCTTGGCTGCAGAGCCAGCGTGTGTGTAGAGAGAAGATAATAGTATTAACTGGGGGGGCTATGGGGAAAGCATCTTCACAACTTATTTATCAGGCAGCTTCTTCTCCAGCTCTCGTCTGGTTTTATGTCGTGCCCAATCTGCTGGCTGCGCAGTTGGGAGCCCCTTCTTCCCAGGCCATGGACAGTCATCCAGCTGGCTGGGGATGTGCTCCCAGACCGAAACTTCCCGTTGTCCCTGCTTCCTTCCCCTTTCCTCGGTGCTGATGGGGTCCTTCTGCTTTCAAAAATTCCAGGTCAACAGCCGAGCTGTTAACTTAACCCTGAAGTCGGATAGATGTGGCACTGATACAGATTTAGTCTAGTTGTTCATTATTTCAGGTTTTCATTCAAAGACAAGAATCCTGAAGTTTAATAAGAAGAATTTTGCTCTTTCCTATCAGAGCAATGAAAAAAAAAAATCCCCATTGAGATACCATTAAATAAATCAGAAAAGAAAAATGCAGCCAGAAGTCCCCAGTCTCTGTTGGCAAAGAAACTTATCCAAGGTCCATGTTTATAAGAGAACATTTTACTCAAAGACTGTGTGATTTTTCTGTAGATACCTTTATGTTTTCATTTTCTCCTAACTCTCCTTTGACTCTTGTCTTTTGCAGGTCATGAAAACATACCACATGTATCATGCAGAGAGCATCAGTGCAGAAAGCAAACTGAAGGAGGCAGAGAAGCAAGAAGAAAAACAAATTGGGAGGGCAGGAGACCCTGTTTTTCATATTCGACTAGAAGAAAGGCACCAGAGACGGAGCTCTGTGAAAAAGATTGAAAAAATGAAGGAAAAAGTAAATAGTCCCTTTATTTAGCTTCATTTGAAGTAAATTCAGTGCAATTCTGACATTCTTTGGGATGATATTAGACAGAAAAGTCCAACTGGGAAATAAAATTAAACAAGGTACACATAATAAACTAGTAGTGGGTTATAGATAACTTGACTTAATTGCAGTTCAGAGAGGGGAATACTTTATTCCTGATATAATTCTTACTATATGGTTTGTCACGTTTGAAAGAAAAATACCAAGCTATCATTTTGTATTACATTTGTTACATGCATAACAGGCTGGCAATTAAGATTTTTTTTTTCTTGTTAATAGGAATGTGTGCTTGAATTGTTACCATTTTTGCTACATACCAAATATGAAGTAATTCAAATACATTAATATACAATCTCTTTCCTAGCGTCAAGCAAAATATTCTGAAAACAAGCTGAAATCTATTAAGGCCCGTAATGAATACCTGCTCACCCTTGAAGCAACCAATGCTTCTGTTTTCAAGTATTACATTCATGACCTTTCGGATTTAATTGATGTAAGTATTGGCACATTTTTTTTATGTTTATTCCATTCAGGAATAATACTTTTTTTTTTTCATTTTCAAAGGGAATATATTAGTCACATGAGTTGCCTACAGTACAATAATATTGTATGGTATAATCAGCAGATTTTCCTTTGAGCTTTGTATTTCACAAAATAAAGTGCCAATAAGATGATGAACCCATTACTTTAAAGTTAGAACCTGATGTTTTCTCCCCAAGTGGCAAGAGAAAGTAAGACAAGAATAACATAAAAAAGGTAGACATTTCGATTTTGTACTACAAAAGGATTTCTGGGGTACAAATATTTTTTACAAGATAAGCTTCTTAAATGGGCATACAATAATGGTATTTAACTCAACAGAAGGCATTTCCTCCACGTCTTCAAAATCATTTTGCTTCATTCATTCAGACATTGAATCAAATATACAGTGCTTTTTATTCTTATTTCGTGTAGTTTGCGGAACAGACACAATCAATCCTGTATTCTATACTGTCAACACAATTGTTACAGATTTTCAGTATGTTATTCCTGTGAGAAGATCCTAGGAGAATGAGGTTATACACTGATGTTGACTTGAACCAGCAATTGGTCTCCAGAACCTGTATTATTGACATTATTACAAGATACAGAGGGAGCATCCTGCAGTCTATCGTGTCCCACCTTCTTTCTAAGCTGACCACGTATTTGATAGAGAAAATTTAGAGACAGCAAACACAAGCTCAAGAGTATCAATTCACTAGCAACGTAGTGTTAAAAAAGTCAGTGGGTATGCCCCTGTGGCCCATATGAAATCCTAGCTATTTGAATATGCTTCCTACTGCAACAGTAGCTTTTGTTGTTTACAATAGTAAGCAATGTGCACATACAGTCATTTCTGATGGGGTGTTCATCACAAAAAATAAGCCAGATGAGCTCTGGTTTTCATATAGCATAAATTAATATAGCATTTGACAAGAGATTTCTCGTTTCTACTGTCTGGAGAAGCAAAGCTTGATAGAGAAAGGGAAAAATACCTTCTTGAGATGAATGGATTACATAGCTACACATATATACTGCTGCATACTATGTTCTAGTATATGTTTTCTAAATACTGAGTCAGTTTTCTTTGTCATTTCCATTTTTTTCTGGAGTTTATAGAATCTTACCTAATTTTGCTATAACTTTTTCCTTTTTCAACTTTTTTCCCCCTGTTTTTGCTTTATTTGCCTTACTTTCTTATAAAAGGTGGCAATGTATCTTTTTTGTGTTTTCAGTATTTCTTGCTGTATCTCAACGTGTCTTTTATTCCTCTCTCCTACTCACTATTGCACATTTTCTCTCTTCTGATTTCTTCTGGTTTATTCTGCTGTATACTGTCCCTGTCTAATCTACACCCATGCCACCTGCGCATCCTGCTCCATCCACCTGGCCTGCCCAGGCAATGAAAACATTGGCCAGGATCCCAATAAATAGATGATCGGGGCAGAAAACTAAGGACAAGAAGCATACCTGCTAGGGTACCACCCAAGTGAGAAGTTGTCCTTACCTAATGAATGGTTTTCCTGATACTGCTTAAAGGATGATGGATTCTTAACCTCTAGTTAGGGCATTTCTGATAAACATGAACTTTATGAGTTCTTCTTGACTGCTGGAAGGAAGGAAAGGTCTCTTTCCTTCTGTTCCCAGCACTCCCACCCCTTCAGAAGCTGGAAAGATGCTCATTTTGTCTTCTCTTCTGCCTTCCCTTTTGGAGCTTACATTTCCCGGTGAATGTCTCAAACCTTGAAGGCCAACAGCATCCTGGCCTGTATCCGCTCTGGTGAGGCTGCACCTCGAGTGCTGTGTTCAGTTTTGGGCCCCTCACCACAGGAAAGACCTTGAGGTGCTGGAGCGAGTCCAGAGAAGGGCAACAAAGGTGGTGAAGGGTCTGGAGCACAAGTCTGGTGGGGAGCGGCTGAGGGAGCTGGGAGTGTTTGGTCTGGAGAAAAGGAGGCTGAGGGGAGACCTGATCGCTCTCTACAACGACCTGAAAGGAGGGGGTAGCCAGGTGGGAGTCGGCCTCTTTTCCCAAGTAACCAGCGACAGGACAAGAGGAAACGGTCTCAAGTTGTGCCTGGGGAGGTTCAGGCTGGACATTAGGAAGAACTTCTTCACTGTAAGAGTCGTTAGGCATTGGAACGGGCTCCCCAGGGAGGTGGTGGAGTCACCATCCCTGGAGGTGTTCAAAAAACGTTTAGATGTGGCGCTTCAAGACATGGTTTAGTGGGTTTAGTGGACATGGTGGCATCAGGTATACGGTTGGACTTGATGATCTTTGAGGTCTCTTCCAACGATAATGATTCTATGCTTCTAATGTCTCCAGTGCGTGTTTCTACTTGGTCGAAACTTTCTCAGGTGGGAAAATGCACCTGATTCTTACCCATTTCATCGATGTCCACAGAGGTTGCTGTAGCAGTGAAAGCTGAGGGGAGGAACGACAAGAACTGAGAGGGGAGGAGAAGTGAAGCTCTCTGTGCATACATATACAAAGACAACACTCTTTGGAGTTAGTGTATGTAAAGATATTTACACAACCATGAAGCCTAGAGCTTTCTGACTGCTAGTTTTTAACAGAAATGTACATTCTACAATATTTAGTAAGGCAGGAAAACGATACCTACTTTGCGTGGCTTTTTCCAAGCCGTGGACTAACGTAGACAATAACATTCTTTTGGCAAAATGGCTTTAGAAGTTACTCTTCCCTAAGGAATTTAAATGGAAAGTCTAGCTGCCCTTTGCATCACTGTTTTGTAAGAGCAGGCTGTAAACATGTGCAACCAGAATTTGCTTCAGAGCCAATATAATCCAATTGTGAGCTTGTTTAAAAGAAGTGTCTTTCAGACATTTGTATTTAATCAGAATATGCTGTGAAAGCATTGGTATCTAGACAGAGTGTTTGCTACTTGACAAAGGAAATGCTTTTTGTAAATGCAAGAGTCTTGGCAAGATTTGGGGGTTATATCATTGGAATGTGAGACATGCTTCCCACTGGCCATATGTTGCGACAGCCCAGACTATCTCAGTCTGTAAATCTATGAAAGTCATGGTACGATTCGGAGTTTTCAGAGCAGTGGTGGCGATTTCATTCTTTGCTCTCTCTGTTTTGTCCCCATCTGCCTCCTGACTTTCTGTGCTTCCCTGAACTCTCTCTTTGCCTGTACAGAAGGGGATTACCTCTCTTCTGGGTCTGAGTTCCAGTTGACGTGGAAGGGATTTAGATCTCCCTGAGCTGTTGGTGTTGCCCATAAATGAAACTGAATGTTTTCCTCTGTTATTGAAAAATATGTCTGATAAAAATGGTATAAATATATGAAGGAATGTAGTGAATTGTTGAATAAATTTTTTTGTTACAAGATTGGGGAGCGTTATGGGACTATTTGTTTTACAACAAAAAAATATAATTGTTTCATTTGGATTCCACTGCATTTTCCATTTGTGAGGCTCCTATGGAAAATCCTAAATTGCAGTTCCTCAGCTGAACTCAATCTGAACTGTTCAACTCCTTCATTTCATTAACAAAGCTCAGGGCTTCTGACTTAAAATGGTGATGTGGTGTTCATCTTAAGCTCTTGTGATAAAAGCAAGATAAAAATATTGCTGGAGTCTTAGCTGGATGTTTTAATGCATTTAGTGAGCTGAGGGTTGGGATCAACATTTGCGAAGAAGTAGGGAGATACACTGTGCATATCAAATCCTGTTTATTTCTGTCCTCTGCATATTGTAGTAGAGGAATTTGAATTTTCTATTGAATATTTCTTCTCTGCTGATTATATAGTAGGATCCAGTTCAAATGGAGGACAGAATTAAGTTTTTTCTTTATTTGTGTCAGTCATAAAGATTACTTTTTAGCCGAATTAAATAAGCTTTACCTAGTACATAGAAATCTTTTTTTAAGATTGTGGATTTCAGAGAAGCAACAGAGTACACACCCCTGCTAGTCTGACTGTTAGTACCAACATCTGTCCATATGGCACAGACTATTACTCATTTACTTAAAGATTTCCACGTAATTGAGTTTATTAGATTTATCTGGGTGTAAGAGGAACGTAGGGACCTTTTTTCAGACATACCGTGCACTCATATGATCTGAAGATAAATGCTAGGAAATAGTGATCAAAACAATTTGACTGTAATTCCACTGCTAGAATAAATAAAATATTCATGTGTTGGTCTTTCTTAGAGTGGAGTTTCTGAATCTCTAATTGCAGTCTGTATGCTTTGGATGGTTAAGAAGTTAGGGAACATTTAGCTATTAAGATCTTAATTTATTCTGTAAAAGTTCTTTGTTAATCATTCATAGAACCAAGTTTAAAACTAGGGTAGAGTGTGTGCAGCTCACAAGCTTTATTACATAAGTTCTCATAAATATGATATGTACAACCAGATCCCTTTGATTTGAATGTTGATGTCTGTGTAACAGGATGATTAGAAAGTGACTTATTCAGAGGTTAAGACTTTTTTTTAATGAATTTCTCTCTCCATTGGCATTAGAATTTCATTATTATTCCTGAAATGAAATGAAGAGCAGCTTGGTTGTCTGGTTGAAGCTCTGTGCTAAGCACTGCAGTTTGTTTTTTTCAAGCCTAAATATACTCTGGGGTGCAATAAAGACAGTAAATGCCTTTGAGACTGCTTCGGATTTAATTCCAAATAAGAATAAAATGCAAATTACAAAATTAATTTTTCACACATATCCCAAACGCATCACTCATCTCCCTCCACTTTGCCCAACCAGAAGTCTTTATGAATCCAGAAATGCAATAAAACTCATAGTCTGTGACTTCATTCTCTCATTTCTTATCTTCATGTCTCACTGCACCAACTGACATCTCATCTCGCTAGCCTGTAGCTTGGTAGCAGATCTCAGTAGCCATCCAGGCTGTAGCCTTGGTGTGCTGATTACTCAACCTCAAAGGTTCATATTTATTTTGACTAACAGGGTGGTTGCTTGCTTGAACTTTACAAATCTTTCTACAAATCTAGAGATTTTTCCTAAAAATCATGTATACATGGATGCCTGTGTGTATCTGCATATATATGTACTTTTTTTCAACATCAGAAAGGTTGGTGATTTTTTTTTTTCCAAGCCTGGTCAGACTGGATGTGGTGAGGGGAGCAGTTCAGTGGCAGTACCTGAAGTTTTTTGTCTTAGGAATGAACAAATACCCAAAGATCCATCTCCATTATAGACAACTCTCTTTCTAAACCATCACTAGTACTAGCAGATGAAAACAGTGCTCTTCTTTCTGAGTAGCCATGAGTTGATATTGTGACAGAACCATCCCCCAGTTAAATCTATCGTTGTCTCCAGATTTTGGAGAAAGTGAACTATGATCTGGCAGAAGTAAGAGTTGTGATGTCTGAGTATTTATTTTTGCTTTTAAAAATAACTTTACTCATACAAATTCTATTTTTACTTAAATTGTTGAAGCAAAATTCCAAATTCAGGCATTTTAAATTCCATTCAAAGAGCCACTGGTGATAAGGCATTAGTTCAGGTTCTGGATTTAGTTCTCGTTTGCTCTGCTTGCATTGGCATTGCAAGAAAATGCCTTAGTCTGGCAGGATACTCTGCTTTGCTTGAAGAATCCTTCTTCTTGGCTGAGAGGCCGTATTTGTTACCCTGTTCAGCTGTCACCACCTGCGAAAGATGACCATGGTAATAGTTCGTGTCTAGATTAAGGGTTAAACAATGAAGTTCTGGGTACGGTCACAGCATAAAGGCTGCAATCTTATATTCCAACTTGTAAAAGAGCTGCATCGGAAAGCCGCACAGCTCTAATTGTAAATCAATAAGCTTTCTATTAATACTCAGATTAATCCTCCAGAGCCAAAATTCAGGCTCTAGATGCCTGTAGTTTTATAAGACATGGTTAGCTGGCCATGCTAAACCTGGCATTGCCCTCTATTTCTAATTTCCTCTCAGTTTAATCTTCCGTGAGGTCTCTCTGCAACTAATGCACAGGAAATAAAGCAGCTGTCCTGATCCACTTTCTTATAGCACTTTTAGTCTGTCTTTTTCATCCAAGATAGTGAATTAAATATGAGATCTGATTTGACATAGAACAAGAAAAAAACCAAGAGACTTTTGCTTTTAGAAACAATATTTTTTAGGCTGGAAGTCTTTGAAATATGGATGTACTTTAGTATAAAAGTTGAGTGGCTGTTTTAGTAAGTGTAACACAAATTTCCATTCTATAAATGCAAAAGAGAGAGGTTAACCTATGTGTGTTTGATTGAACATGACATCTTTTTTCCGTTTTCTTTAAGTAGTTCAGACACTGGTTTTTGGAGAGCCCCTATCCCATCTGCAGTAACTGCCTGGAGTACTCGCTACCTGGAGTACTCGCTAGGACTGACAACCTAGTTTTTCTGGCAGTTTTGTTGTGAATAAAACAGCCCTGTGTTAGATTGCAGAGAGCAGTTTGATCACTAGTCATTGGAGCACCTAAGGCAAGGCACGAGAGGTTTCTTTCTCTTCTATATACAGGTTTAGGTATGGTAAATAGGGTTGGAAGCTCTTTCCCACGCGGTGTGTGCCTCTGTCTGTCTCCTCTCTTTTTCTCTCCTTTTTCAAATAAGTAAGAGGAAAGCGAGGGGGGAGCATGATCCCATGAGTCCTAAGGGTTTGTAATAGCTATGAGGGTGGTACGTGTATAAACATAGTCTACAGTGGACTGAAATCAAGTTTCTTTTTTACCCAACTGCATTGCTTGCCTCGTGAGTCCTGCAGGGCAGGATGATTTTAAACTGTGGGTGGGCACCCAGGGTGGGTGGCTGGGGGCTGAGGGGTGCCCTAAACCGGCGTCCTCCCTGACTGCCCTGGCCAGGCATTGACCTCCAACGGGGACAAATCTCTCCTGTTCGAATAAAGAACTTGCTTTGTATGCAACTGTTAGTGAACTGATGTGCCACTGTTGGGGTGACAGAGAGGTTTGTGATATATCTGCCGTTACCTGGAAGCTCACTGAGCAGAAGCTGGGGATATTGTTTACTGTGTAATGTGGGGAAAAAGTTAAGGAAACAATCACTTGATACATTACTGCTGTGACATTTTAAAAATATATTCAGCTGTTCCTCTAAAATATTAACCAATCATGAATAATGTAAACTGAGGATATTTAAAATTCAAGAACAAACACAACTTTATGTTCTACCAATTAGGTTTCAATTACATTGCAATGTTATTCTCACCCCTAGAAAAAAAGACATAAATTGACTTTCTGCATTTGGTAATGTGATGTACATTGCTGGCTCTATCTGAGCATGGGAAATAAGGTGTTTACAGTAAATACATTTTCACTGTCAGGGAAAAGGACGTTAAACAATTCTTGTTGCATCAAAAAGCATCTTAGATGGGTCACTGAAGCTAGAGGCAGTTGTGGGGGGTTTTGTTTGGGCACAGACGTGGTGAGCAGGAACTGCTTCATTTTCAATTTGGGTCTGGCATTGACTTAGATGGTAGAGTTATGTCGAGGTGGGTTTAAATAGAAGATCTGAGGCTAACATATGAGAAAAATACTGAAAAACCCACTTGTGTGTGGAATACTGGACCTTTTTGTTGTAAATACAGTGACTGCACATCTGAATCTGGTAAACAAATGCAAACATATTGCCATACATGTACACTTGCTCTCTTTTCTAAAACTGCCCTTTGATCTTTGCAACAGAATGAGGATACTAAATACTAACTTGGCCCCAGTATTGTATTTTAATTTAGAAGGTATTTTGTAAAATACTTCAAAGACAGAAGAATTTCAGGACAGACTGTCTTGGCCTCAGTATTGTATTTTAATTTAGAAGGTATTTTGTAAAATACTTCAAAGACAGAAGAATTTCAGGACAGAAAATTTTAGTGATCATTTGTGGGTTGGGATATTGGAATGGTGTTCCTCCTTTTTAATTTGTTTTGTTTTCCTTTTATTACGTTTTTACGGTTGCGATCTTGGATACCATGCTAGTCTGAACAGAGCCCTAAGAACATACCTTTCTGCAGAGTATAACCTTGAAACTTCCAGGCATGAGGGCTTAGACATCATTGAAAATGCAGTTGACAGCTTGGAGCCACGAAGTGACAAGCAGAGATTCATGGAAATGTACCCCACCGCTTTTTGTCCACCGATGAAATTTGAGTTCCAGTCTCATATGGGGGATGAGGTCTGTATACTGACAAGTATCCCCACCGTGACTGTCTGTTTCTATATACCAAGACAGAGAATTTATCCCCTTTTTACAAAGAGTTTGGTAAAAGCTGTTACTGCTACCCAAAAGCAAGTGGATCAGCAATAACATTTTGCAAAACTGGCAGCGCTGTTCTGAGTTTCTTCAGAGTTCTCAAGTAAAAACTGTTGTGTTACTGTGTTCTGTATTGCTCATAATGACATTGCTGCGAATTTGCTGACCGACCTGTGCTCAGCCCAGCACTAGCGTAAGCAGTGACTTTATGTCGTCCCTATCTGCCGCACCCGTAATGGAGCTTGTGGGTGCTATTTGAGAGCACCTGCAGAGCTGCTCCAAATTCTGCACGCTGAAATGCAACCTTTTCCCCTTCTGCTTCCCCATTTATCGTCTGGAGATTTCAAGTGTACAGGCTACCCCAGCTACGCCCTGTTCAGCTACACCAAAGGCCAGTAGCAAAGCAGAATGCAGAATCACTCATGTACATCTTTTATCTGAAGGTAGCTCCATGGTTCGCATTTCCGTGTGATAGAGAAGCAACGTAAAGCAGCCATACAACAAGACTGTGCTTTGTAGTCGTAAGATGCAGTACCTAGTTCCACACCTTGTAACATATAAGTACTTTAAATTTAGATGGACACATTTTGTTGTCTGCTTTATTAAGTTTTAATAGCTTTGGTAGGCATTCACCTAGTTTTAAGGAGAGCAACCAAAGACTATTGACTGTTTTTTTAGTTCCGCATCTTACAGCTCTTTTTGATTCTTTGTTAGGTTTGTCAGGTCACTGCCCAGCAACCTGTGCAAGCAGAGCTTATGCTTAGGTATCAGCAACTACAGTCACGGTTGGCCACACTCAAAATTGAAAATGAGGAGGTAAGATCTGTGTGATTGAACATGCATTGAACATGCTATGCATTGAACACCATTTTCAGGAAGGTGCAGTGTTTTCTACCTTGTCGAAAGCATGTAAATGACCCTGAAATGGCTTCAATCTGTATGAGCTGGTTTTATTTTTAAAATCAGATACTGGCAAATATGCTAAGGTAGATCTTCGTCTGCTTTACAGAGGTTTGGAAACCTCATCTTTTAACTGTCCATATGCTCACATTAGGGAGTTCTGCGTTTTTCAGATGCTTCAGTGAAACTTGTTAGAGCACATATTTTTAAAGTTTTGTGGCAGAAAGCCCCCAAGTACAGTTTTTGTCTTCTGTGACCACCCTCTGTCCAGTCCCCAAATTGCTACTTCTGTAGAACAAAGGAATTTGGACTGTCTTTTCTGCGTTTTGCAGATGCTTCAGTGTAGACTTGTTAGAGCACATATTTTTAAAGTTTTGTGGCAGAAAGCCCCCAAGTACAGTTTTTGTCTTCTGTGACCACCCTCTGTCCAGTCCCCAAATTGCTACTTCTGTAGAACAAAGGAATTTGGACTGTCTTTTGTGGTAGCTGAGTCGAAATCTCTTATGCTGTCAGCTACAGCTATTTATAAACACGAGTACTGAATGCCTGTGGTGGGAATAGCTCACCTAGTAAGAAAAAAATGCATTTTTTTGTAAAATACACAAAAGCTATGCTGTTCTCTTTCCCCTGCTCTGGCAGCGGAAAGAGACCTCCCAGTGGGTATAAATTGTACTTTTATCCCATTTAAGGCAGTGTTAAAGGCCCTCAGTTTAAATGGGAATCTGTTCCTAAATTAAAACATACAGGTAATTTAATTTCTGTGTGTATTTTACTGCTAAGTTTTCAGGATTACAGTTTTTCTCATTCTATGTTGTGTTGAATGCCTAGAACAAAGTATTAATGTCCATGAGATATGTACAGTAGTCTTTACAAAACACCACTTGAATTCAGAAAATACCTCAAGGTAATGAAGACAAAAGGAAGGAGAAAGATTATTTCTTTCAGTAAAGTGAAGTGCAAGGGCATAGCGGGAGAAATCGTGTTGATAGGCACGGAAAGGATATTTGCCTACACTGAGATGTGTATAGAAGTGTGCGTGATTTGGTTAAGTTGACTCTTCCAGAGAGTCTTCTGAAGCAGAACTGGGAGGTAAATCACATCCTTGTGAATCTTGCAGGTTACCTTGTTGCATTGTGGAAACACTGCATCCCCTGTTCCACAGCCTCCAAGCCCTGGTTTCCACTGTGAGGAGTGGTGCCCCATCTCTCATAGCAAGTGCCGTGAGGCTGGTGTAAATTGTTCTTTCTCCAGCCCCCTCCTCCAGCTGTGTGTCCCACTTCTGCAATCTAAACATCGCTGTGCTCCTCACCATAGCACTCCGCAGAAAAGTGTCACAGATTTTTATCTTGGAAGAACATGTTCTGGTAGCCAGGTCCTTTGATATACATATTCAGTCTGACATGTCGACCACACGTAGGAGAGCTGACCCTTCAGAGAAGTGTATCATCTCTATTAGCCTCCCAGATTAGGGACCATAATCAGATCATGTCATGTTTTGATTCTAATTTCAGGAAACAAATGCTTGAGAGTGCTATACAGTCAACACAAGAGTACATCCACCTTCGTGGATTGGACCATGGCAAAGCAGAGAACTAGATAGGAAACCTAATTATGTCATTCCTCTGTTACGTAGATATCTGTTATAGTACACCTGATTTTTCACATTTGCACATCAGTTTGACTGGGGGAGTGTGCTAGAGAATTATTTTGAGTAATGAGCTTCCCTTCTAAGCTGTTCTGATATATATTTATCTTGCATTTGACAAATTGTGCTTTTTAATACCAGGTTAAGAAAACAACAGAGGCTACCCTGCAGACAATACAAGATATGGTCACCATTGAGGACTATGATGTGTCAGAGTGTTTCCAGCACAGTCGCTCAACGGAGTCTGTGAAGTCAACAGTCTCTGAGACATACCTGAGTAAACCTAGCATTGCAAAAAGAAGAGCTAACCAGCAGGAAACGGAGCAATTCTATTTCATGGTATGTTGGCTGCTTCCTCGTTCAGGTGATACAGACCAAACACCTGAAGTAAACATTATGCAGAAGTTCCTGGAATTTATGTGCCGTAGATAGTAATAGATTGATCTGCATCTCTACAGAAATTCAGAGAATATCTGGAAGGTAGTAATCTCATCACAAAACTTCAAGCAAAACATGACTTGCTGCAGAGAACACTCGGAGAAGGTAAATATCACACAATAAACTGAAAAGTGACTTCAGACTATACAGTGAAGCCACTGAAATGCCAAAGGTACATGGGAAAAAAAATCACAAAACTTACAGCTTAATTGTCTAGTAAGCATAAATTTGATTTTTACCAGTCAGAGTTTTGGTGCAGTGCTAAGAGTAACGCACTATAAATTGATTTTATTTCTTCAACAGATATTTATTTCCACTGCACACATATTTAGACAAACGGCTATATTTGGAAATGGAACTCTTGAATGAAAAATCTCGTGTCTGAAAGGAGAGCTGACACAGTCAGTGCAGAGTGATTTAAGAGCTGTGACAAATGTACTGTTTCTACTTCCTAATGATTTCTGTTGACTTAAGGTCTTTTTAAGAGTTGGGGGAGAGTGACATTTTTTTAAGCATACGAAATTATCCAGGATGCATCTCTTACAATGGACTCAGTAGTGCAGCATTTCTGACACATGGTCATGAATGTCCTTATTGCACCCTAACAACTCCACGGAGCATTTATGAAAGGTAAAAGGTGAAATCCTGACCTCACAGTTGTCAGTAATAAGACTCTTATAGACTTAATATAACATTGGGTTTCTACAAAGTATTTGCATATTGTGAACTGGAATGAGTGAAAACTTAATGAATAGCTGTGCACCTGTTGATTATCATTATTGCATATACAATTATTGCATTACAAATTATGATAGCAGAGAATTATCCATCATCCTGAGTACTCTCCACAATTTTTAAAATTACATTTTAAAATATAAACCAAGTCAGCAGATGTCCATGACCAAATGAAGTAAAGCTGAATTAGGGCAGTAATGAATCATGCACTATGCACAGCTCCAACCCACCTCGTCCCAGCCCTCCCAACAGGCAGTTCCTCATGGACCAAAGGGAAAAGGAAAATCACACTGGAAGCCTTGAGCACCAGCCACACAGAGTGTTACAGACTTGAGAGGAAATGAATTACACCGCAAGGAGTAAAAATCCTCTCCTGAAGGTTAAAGACTATTATTTAAAGTTCAGACTCAAGAAGGGAAACTTGTTCTCTGAAGAGTTTAAAGGATGTGTCAATTTATTTTCTTTTTACTGCCAAATATCTGTTGCTAATCAGATCTCTTCTTGCTTGTAATACAAAAGCCCAGATCCACAAATCCAGTTGTGGAGGTGCCTGAAGAGCTGTTAACAGTTCAGTGGCTACGACCCAAACAAAGGCCCTGCCTGGGGAGTGACTGAGGTTGGGGGTAGGAAATAAACAGCATTTTCTTGTAAGGCTGGACTGTAGAAGATGGTTTTAGCTGGTTTTAGACAACTAACTATGTTACGTTCTTTCTCATGGAAGTTTTCATTTAATAGCGGGGTTTTTTTTTAACGTGTGTGTTGAGCAGTTTATTCACACAAAACAATGTGCAGCTGATGTTAGTCAAAAAAGAGAAAATTTTCCTCCAAAGGTTCACAGAAAATGTATTTGGGAAAATAAAATGAATGTTTGCTATTTGAAAGCCCATTAAAATGCGTGATCATCTACTGAAGGGAGAAAGATAAAAGGCAACAGATCTGTTGCCTAATGCATGTTGGAAAGAAATAAGGAAAGAACTGTACAAAAGGAAGTCCAAAGAAGAAATTCTCAGCAGAGTGACCGTAAGTGATAAATTGCCGTGAGGCTCTGGGCCATTCTGCCATGCTCAGGCATGCTTGGACCATTCTGTTTGAAGAGTTCCCTTCGACCGATCAGCTGTAACCCCAAGTGGTTAAATCTGTGTTGCCCACAGTGTTTTTGCACATAGTTGTTCTCACATCATCATAGCATAGCACATACAAATAGTACCCCAAATGTACACGTTTACATTCAAAGCTGATATTTGGAGCAAAAGCCATCATTCTTACAGGTTAAAAAGTTCAAGTATCCCCTTCTATTGAGGCATGTCCTGCATGAAAATGCACATGCCTGGAAAGGAGGACCTGGATTCTGAACATTCCTTGAATGAGGATGATTGAAAGGATAGATTTACAGTGGAAATGTAAATGTTATTGCTGTAGCTAGTATAGAAATGAATTTGTAGGAAGTGAACTGCTCCCCTGCTCAACTCAAACTGCCTTTTCTGGAAACTTTCATGTCAGCAAGACAGCAGACAAATAACACAGGGTGCTGTGTTAAGTAACGCAGGGGAGAATGGGAGGAGAGGGAGAGGATTGTCTGAACTGCAAATTTTCCTCTGGCACTCTCTCTTGCTTTTATTCAAACCTGAACAGTGTAAGGATGTAGGCTGAATAAATCCACATTCCAGTCTGGTGTCCACAACGTTGACAGCATTTGGCCTCGGTTCCAGTTCATCACCAGCCTACTGCACTCTGTTTCTGTTTATGGACACAGCAGATACAGATTCCTTGTCTGCACAAGGGAGACAGATTAAGTGCTCTGTGCTGAGTCTGCATCTACAAATTTGGAAAAGTAAATGAGAAATACTCAAATGAAATTGATACTAAACATAGGAAGCACACTGATACTCATATTAACTCTGACCCAAGGCTCATCTATTGAATGAACAAAGGAACAAAGCAAAGGGAAGTGCAAGAAAGAGAATAAGCAGTTGTAAAAGAAATTGCCACTGTGTCCCAGATAATGTTTGGGGTTTTTTTGTTGTTGGGTTTTTTTTCCCCTGATCTGTTAAATGTCAGAGATGTGTTTAAAATCTCTCAGACTTGGGATTTGTAACATCTTTTGTTTTACTAGCATTTATTGTTGTGATTCTTAGTCTCAGTGGTCTTCCCTTGGTTACATGAGTAGAGAGAAATCCCTGGCTTACCCTTTTTCTGTCATAGGTTATTTTACATACTTTTTGTTCATACTTTACATACTCTTTTCATCGCTCTTTTTCACCTCTCTAAAATAGATACCGACAGTCTTTACATGTCTTATTGATGCCTGAGATTTTTCCCAGAGCATATTCTTTATGCCACCTTCTGTGGATCCGCACTCTTCTGGTACTGCAAAATATATTTTCAGATTAGGGTTTTCAGTACTGTGCAGTATTTCAGGTGCACCTGGACATTGCCACATAATATTATGTTTTGCATATCACTGGTTTTCATTCTTTCTGCATTCTGACAAGCTTTTTTGGTGTCACTTTCAAATTGAGTGGTATACTTAGCCCAAGTGATGCTCAGAGTGATTTTCATAGTCGGTTATAATTCTCTGTAGCTCTGTTGGCTGCATAGGTGTTTAATTCTTTCTTCCCTAATGTCTTACTTGAATCTGTTAATACTGAATTTCATTTGCCATTGTGTGTCTTGTTCCTTAACATGGTTAAACCCCTCTGAAGGGCTTCATAGTTTTGTCAGGACCTGATTGAAAAGTATTTCAGTCATCTGCACAATATTCTGCTTCCTTATCTGCTGTGATCTCCCCAGGAGATTAATAAATGCCTTATGTATTACTCAAATGGTCCTAATGGGCAGACTTGACTAAATGACTGTTACACTTTTGTCATGTGATGAAAAAAGACCACTTAATTCCATTCGGTTTCCCTTTTGTTCACTAGTTTTTGATCAATGAGAATATTTTGCCTCTCAATCTATGACTGTTTAGTTGCTCTAGTCGCCTCTTGGGAAAAAACTTATCAGGGGCCTTTGAAATTCTAAGTAAATTAATTCAACTGATTCTCCTTTATCCAGTATTTTACTGACATGTTCAAAGAATTCTAATAAATTAATAGGGCACAATCTTCCTTTGGGAAAACTGGGCTGGTTGGAACTTAGCATACCATGACCTTCGTACCATTTCATTGTTTTGCTTTTCATTATCATGAGTTGACACGGTGCACGTGCCTGAGTTACTGGTCTGTTGTTCTACAAAGGTTACCCAGGAACTTTTCTGGAATACGGTATTTGCTTCTTTACAATTCTCCGCAGTTCTCTGTGGTGCTTCCCAGTGGTAGCGCTGTATTTTTTTCCTGCAATACACAGATGAAAGAGAGGAAGGAGTCTTTCAATAGCAAGCCATTGGTGTCTAGAGCTCTGTATTTTGAGCACCGAACAGGTTTAGGCACAAGGGGAGACGTAATCTAATCTTGGCACAGCTCTATTTCCATGCTGATTTAGCCACTAAAACACATGAGCACAAACAATAGACATTGTTTGGAGTTTTACTTCAAGTTATTTACAGTACCAAGTGACTCTTTAATCTATGGGCAGGCTTCTTAAAAGTTGTTCTATAACATGGGTTGTGTTTGTATTTTAAATGTAACTATGGAAATGGGAGATAACTGCACTGCCCTGTTTGCTGTATAATTGTATATCTTTCGCTGGTAACAGGGACGTCAGGGTTAAAAGTAATTTGCCAAGCGTAATTTAGATTAAAAAAAAATCTACCTAAAACCTACAAATGATTGTTTCCTGTTTATTGAACTTTTCTAGGTCACAGGGCTGAATACATGACAACAAGGTAAGATTTTTATATGATTTAGAGTTACAAATGTAATAAAATCTTAGAAATTACTACGTTTAGAACAAGTTTGTAAGGGTATATAACGTTGTTGCTGTTGTTACATAAATTGTGTACAGGCCCTGTGTATTTTAACATTCAGCATTTCTGTTTCTGCGTGCTGATGGGTAAAGGACCAGACTGTTCATCTTCCTCATTCTTGTGAGCTGCTTAGGCCAGCATCAAGGGTGGGACAAGCTGGGAGATCCTTAAAATTATTTGTGAGTCACGCATCAGATTTGGAAGTTGCAGGGGGCTTTTTGGTGCTAGAAAAGAAATATTTCTCAGTTACTAGAGATACCTGGCTTCTCTTGGTTTGTAATTCACTTGGTCAGTACACATAGTTCAGAAGAACCCGAATCTAGGGGATAGGCTGCGTCTTTGATAACCCAGCTCTGGACAGGAATACCTGCCTCCCCCAGCATCCATGTGTTTGATACTGAAATGGGTCTACACATTCACAGAAGAGAAGGGATGCAGTGTCAGATCTCCCTGCTTTGTGCAGCACATACTTTTTCAGTTGTGTAATGCCATACCTGTGGTGCTGCCTCCAGACATAAACACAGAGGAGGGCTGCAGCCCCTGGGGTGTCAGACTGGGGTGGGGGGCAATAGCAACTGTTTGGATTGGCACCTGCCGCTCCTGTGCGTCACTGTTACAGGCAGCACTCTTCCCGTCCTGGTGACAGCAGGAACATCCAGCCCAGCTTTCCTGGTCTCACTCTTCCCTTCCTTTTCCATGCAATACATCCTTGCTCAATGCCTTCTCTTTCTCCTTTTTGCTTCATGGACAGGAATGGCCTTGCCACCACTCCTCATCTTTGAATTTAAAAAAAAAGAAAAAAAAAAAGTCTTACCCTCCCAGCTAAGTAGTTTGGATCTGGCTCTGGCTCAGCCTTTGCTGGACCACTTGGTTTTGTATAATTTCTTCTGCCTGGCCTCCATATTCCTGGGGACATCTCTGCAAACTTCAGACCAGCCTTTCTCCCACCACTCCATGGTCCATTTTAGCTCTGTAAAGTTGGACTTATTCACCTTCTTCCCTTACACAACCCCTTACATGACAGCAGTAACAAATCAGAGCATTCTTCCCAGTTGCTGACATTAATTCTGAGACCTGTGCCTTTAACTTTAACTCTGCCCCCAGATGCTACCAGGAATGCATGGAAGTCAGCAAGCTTATGTCTAATGAGAAAAACGTTCTTTCTTGACTCCAAAGCAGGTGACTCATCAGGTTCACATCATCCTCAATTCCCTGCTGTGTAAGCAGATGAAAAAAGATGATGGATTTAGGCAATGATTTTACCTTAGTGAAGTAAGGGAGCAGCTCGAAGCCATCTTACCTCCTGTCTTCTCACAGCTGGTCACTTAGAGAAAGACATTCTGAGGGAGTAGGGCCTGCCCGTCCATTCCTCTGCACCAGTTCCCCTGCTCCGGCTGGGACCTGCCTGTTGCCCCAAGGTTCAGTTAAGTTTTCAGACTGCAGATGGAAATGTTCTCCAAGAAAGTGTAGAAGGGAAGATGATGTCTTTAAAGATGACTTTAAAATAGCAGGTAGTACCCAAACAGACCAAAGCCCCACCACTTAATATTCTATGCATTACTGTTGCTCGCTGTTTCCGCAAAAACTTTCGGTTTTTTGCTAATTCCTGAAAAACCTATAGAAACATTGGACTGCTGGTGCAGGTGAATTAGGGAAGCTATTGGCATGTAGTGTGCCTTCACATTCACAAAATAAATTGTGACCTAGAGGACAATATTTATTTCCTGTAATCTCTTTCAGTTGTAGTCATCTGTCCTGGTTTGGCTAAAACAGGACTATTTAAACTATTTAAACAGTGACGTCACCACATGTGTAACACTCTAGGTAAACATTTTGCAGACCAAAGTTTCGTGTATCCTTTCTTTTCTTTTGTTTTTGTGTTATGCTGCTTTTGTTTATTTGTTTGAAATTGATGATATTCTTTTAATTCCTTTAGCTAATTTGCAAGGAGTTTCTTTTCTTGTGTGAAGATGTTGATGGTTGGATGTGGAAGGCTAAAGCTGTTTAACCTTCCTGACTCTAGTTGAAAATGCAGACGGTTTGGTTTTGAAGCATCTTAGGAGCGTGCTGAGCAGCTTTAATTTGCATTTGAAGCTTCTCCGGCATGAGGCAACTTTTCTGCTTGATAAGAGGTGCTTCGAGTGGCCTGTGCTCTGCCGCGGCTGGCAGGATGAATTCCAGTGGTTGCTGCACATTTCATGCATGACCGCAACAAAAAGGGCCATTCCGATTGTGCAGTGTTTGGAATAAACGTATATGGTAAAACTGCAAAGCAGGGGTTCATAAAGAATGTCATTATTTATCCATAAGTAATCCGTTTTTAATGGGGGAGTTCTCCACTCTTTAATCACTGTTACACTTAAATTTGATGGAAAGTCTTTATTTGATAAGTACTGTGTTTATTTCTCCCTTTTCAATGTTCTTTTGTTTTGCCATGAGCTTACAGACATTTCATTTTATTGTGCGATTTAATTCTACCTTGCTCAGTAATCATATTCCCTTCCCTTAGGCCTCCAAATCTTCCCCCTAAGCCCCAGAAACACAGGAAGCCCAGGCCCCGATCACAGTATAGTGCTAAGTTGTTTAATGGTGACTTGGAGTCATTCATCAAGGTACTGGCACCAGCCACCCCGGTGGCTGATCTCAACACGTCTTACTATAATGGTCACCACCTCACGTGAGCTGAGGCCGATCATTATGTTTAAGTCTGTCCTGGGGCTCTTTTCTTTCCCGGTTGATCAATATAATACTTCCTGAAGTCAGAGGGAATCATTTTTCTCATTAGCCTCCCTACAATTTTATTAATCAAGTAGGGATAGTATTGGCAGCCCGGTTTTATTAGGGAACGGAGCATCATGTAGAAGACAGGGTGTAGTGGTGCATCCCACGACTTAGCACAATTTCCTACTTGCCATTCTCATTACATTCAGCGCTCAAAGTCTGTGGAGAAGCAGCATTACCCTGGGTTTGATATCCAGCTTTTGATTTCCTGTGACTTTAGGAATTTATTATATTGTGTGAAATTGTGATCACCGCTATTCTGGATCTTGTACCTTTGCTGTATTTACTATCTTCTTCTTTCTCATACTTTTATTTCTAATAATGCTTCTAGCCGAGGCCGAAGGAACTCTCACACGAGACATCAGGTATAGTTCTGGTGACAAGAGAACCATCTCCGTCTCGCTCTCGGGTTGCATTCACGCCTGGCTCAAAATTAGTTCTTTCAAAGACCTGGAGGGAGAAGTTTGCATTAAGAAATGAGTGTACGAGTACAGCAGGCAAAATTGAACAAGAGCACAACTCTGGAGTGATTGTAATCTTAAATGATGGATGTTTCCTTATTCATTAACAAGCACCTGCCCATCACAGTCAGTTAGTGCCTCTGGACACTAGCTGACAGACCTGAGGGAAAGAAATCTTCAAAAAATATGTAACAATACATTTATAAACGCAGTGAAGGAAATTCTTGACTGCGAGCTCTGTGAACTGGGTTTGAATGTTACAGGGATTCATTTTTTTATTCTTCCTGTGCAACGTAGCTAGCAGCAAATATTTTACAGAGCAAACTCTATGCTCAGCAGCACCATACCAGTTTGGCTGTCTTTGAATCAAGCTTTCAGCCACCCTCAGTACAACCGTAGGGAAAACCATTATTGTTATGCAGGCGGTGCTGGGAGGTGCAAAGACTTTCAGGAAATCCTCACGTGATGCAAAAGATGAATATCATGGACAGTTTCTTGCTCAAGGATGAAAGTAAGCAAAGAAGCAGAAACTCCCACAACAAAAAGCCCCTGGATTAGAGAAGCACAGAGCAAATTGGGAGAAATGGTACCCTGGCATTTTCCCTCTCAGAGGAAAGGGTTATGCTACGTGACAGTGTAGGTGACGGGGCATAATTAGTCTTTCAAAAGGAAAGGAGAAGAAAGCTGGTAGCCATATGACAGACTTGCCGGTGTGGGAGCTAACCCAGGAGAGCATCCCTGCCCAAAGCCCACGTCACTCCTGATAGGGGTGAGTCATTTTGACAGGCACAAAAGGATTACAGCTGGTCAAATACCATATCGCACCAAATTGCTTTTTGTTACGTTTTTGCATCATAAGAAATGACAATTAGTCCCAAACATACATTCACTGACTACACAGATCAGATTAAATCCACAGCAGCGGTAGGGTCACTATTCTTGACGTTGCACCAACACAGATTGTTACTTCAAATTATTTTCCTGTCATTAGATCCCAAACCCGAAGCTGTTAGATTAGATTATTTCAGGGAATTACTTAACTACAAAGTTGTGCGTGGTTCTGAACAGATTCTCCAAAACCAGGTATGAAAGTTAATTATTTTTTTTTTTTGTAATTTCTTACTGCAAACACTATCTTTTCCAAGGCTTTACATTCTTTGCACGAAGCGGTGTACTAACAGGAGATACGGGTGCATGTTGTGCATGTTTTCTAATACTCTGCTTTTTTGGAGAGCCAGGCTGCTCGGTGTTGGTGAAGATGACAGTATTCCTGAGTTTAGCAACTGACCTGTTCCATGGGGGCTTTTTTATTCAGCTTTTACTGAATCATGACACAACTCAAAGAGAAAATGCTCATCCAGACATTACTGGATCTTGGCTAGGCAGTCTTTGGTACATTTTAAATAATAAGACAAACAAGCCACAATTTAAATAGCGTAATTAGCAGTACAGTCTTTTCTAAGCCCCACTAAAACAACATGGGGTACACAGAAAATCAAGGGTTAGGTTATCTCAGGAAGTGCATTGTTTCACTGCTTCACTGTGTGTTATTTTTCAAACTTTTTTTAGTAGTCAGCTTTTCTTCTACTTGGATTTAATTCATAAACTTCCCATTAGTGTAATTTAGCATGAAAATTAAGGACTAGTTTGTAAGAGGAAATGTGTATTCTGAGTTACAGGGTGCTTTTGAATTCATGGTTCTGTAATACAGACTGGTTTTTTATTAAACTTTCAGATGAATTAGTCAATTCTCTGAGTGCTTACGTATTTGAAATTCATTTGGAAAGAAAAATTATAGCTTCCAAGACAAGAATTTCAAAGGTACCTATTATTTATGAAAGAGTAATTTTTCCACAGTAAGCACCAACTTTTCTAAATAATTTTTAATCATATGATTTGTGTCTTTAATAGATATTTGATGACTTGTAGTCATTAATGGGCTTGAGGTAAAAAATCCATTTTTTTAAAGTGCCAAAACACACAGATGAAGGACTGTGATGGTTCTTTTGAAAAATCAGCAGTTTAAAAGAAAAAGACAAAAAACTCACTGAAAATTAGTATATAGTCATCTTCTCCTCCTCCCGTCACAAGCATTTCTTCTCCTTTATTAAAACACCTCTACTTAACTGAAGATGTAGCTATAGACCTGCTGGTGTGTGGTGGCTGAGACCAGGAGCTTTGATTCCTGAGCTCTGCCAGTTGCAGACAGGGAGGTGTTGGCTGTGACCTCCCTTTCCCAAAACGTTTGTGCCTACCGAAGAGGCAGCTGAACCACACGCTCAGCTCAAAGTAGCTGCAGTTCCCCACCCGCTCTATTACCAGGTAGTTAGAGGAGCCTAAACCAACGTGCCAGGCCATCATCGTCTACCCCATGTAAGGACACACAGATCTGCAGAGCACGTAGGAATGCTCTCAGGTCAGGAAGGAGACGCCTGGTACCCCATGCAATGTCATTTGGTGGACTTTCTCCAAGAACATTTCTGATACTAGTCCAGCAGGTCCAGAAAAGGCCTTGTCAACTGTTTGTGATCAACGTTTTTTACCAAAAAAAAAAAAACACTTTGAGGAATTAGGTCCTCTGCAATTAGGTCCAGGTAGGATTTTCTCCACCAGGAAAAGAAAGGTAAATTAAATGGATGCAGAGGGATCATCTTCAACATGAATTATTATTCTTAATAATAAACTTTTTAAAAGGCGAATTCACTGCTTTAACTCATCTTGCTTCAAAAATCTAAAACGCATGCATAAGCTTAGATGTCACATACAGTGTTAGCCAGATACAGTGGCAGAGGTAGAGAATGAAGTCTCTGAATTTCCCGATTCAATGATTTTAATGAAAAACCATAATCCTTTCTTTTCACCTGTTCCTTTCCCTCCCTCCCTAAATGGGAAGAGAACTCTGTTAAAACTGGTATTTTTTTCTTACATGTTTTTTTGCCAGCACTGTATGTCCATCTGGATTGACTAAGAAAATGCATTTTCTCTTTCAGTTCAGAGTAGGGGGGTTTCCTCTTTCTGATCTGCAGTTCACTCTTTCTACTCTTGTTTTTCCAGGATTCAGGACAAGTCATTCCTCTCATCGTGGAAAGCTGTATCAGATTTATCAATTTATACGGTAAGCTCTGAAACATACTATGTCATTTCATTATTGCTCTGACCTTTTTATGTACCTTTTGCATAATGTATTTACCACCATAACTTTGTTTTTAAAATAGAAATTAAAAGTATTTTAAAAACTAGATTCATTTCTCCCCGCTGTCTCCCATCTTTGCTGCAGGTCTTCAGCATCAGGGAATTTTCAGAGTGTCTGGTTCCCAGGTGGAAGTCAATGATATTAAAAATTCATTTGAGAGAGGTAATTGCATTTTCATTTATTCGAGCCCCTTAATATCTGACATTCAAAAATCTTTTAAATTCTAATTACCTTCTTGGCTGTTGAAGCAGTTTGTACGCACTTTGTGTACAGCACCTAAAGCTTTGCACCATCATATGCTTAAAGGTGAAATACAGTGATGACATGTACGTGTTTTTCCCCTGTTATGTCCTAGGTGCTTGAGGCTGGTTTTCATTTTTTTTAGATGAGGCATATGACTCTTGAATCAACAGTAAACTTTAGTCTGTTGTTAATGATAAACTGCAAATAATAGTTCATCTATATTTTATTTTAAAGATCCTCGGAAAGGAATGATTATGGTTTTTAATTAGATTCAAGAGACTACTTAACGCAATTTGAGAACCCTGTTACTTGATCTTCTGGAATACAAGTGCTGAACTTTCTGGTCCCTCTGCCAAAATGGCATCACGATCAATGAGAGTATGGGCTGTGAAAGGGTCATTCCATTTTCAACCACTGTTTTCATTCCCAAAGGAAACTTCAGACCCAGCGGAGGAATTATGGGAAAGACACCAGAAAGTGAAAACAGCTTTTTAAACATAAGTGGCTTGCAACACCTAGCCTAGGATTGCTCTGCTAGGGAAGCCAGGATCCAGCAATCCCCTAATTGTGTTAAAACAATACTAATTACAATTTTTTAAAAAAACCTTACATTCTCTTTTCTTAGGTGTTAGAAGCTGGAGTTTTTTGATTTCCAGAAAAACGTTTTGCAGATCATCTGCTAATGAGAAAACCCTTGGAGCAATAAGTCTTGTGACTAAAAGCATGAAAAAATATGCACAGTATTTTTCTCCCCAGGATTAGTTATATATCTTGTTAAACCTGATCTCATCTTTGACAAGATATGTGAAGCAGCTGTTTTTACACACTAAGTGAAGCTACATCCTCCTGTTCTCCAGCTTTTATATTTGCCTTATTGTTAACTGCTTCTCCCAGGTAGTGTTATTCTGGACGATACATACATTTTAAAGTGTTTCAAAATAAAGATTAAGTCTTTAAAATTACAGGTGGTTCAGTCGTGGCTGAGGTTTCGGTTAGGGTTTCAGTTCTTATACAATGTTTTCACAGAATGGTTGCACATAGTCCCGAATGTCCAAATTTTTCAGAATGAAGACAAATTTCCAATTCAAAGAGTTGTCTAACTCAATTTGCTTTATGTAAGCTCCCAAAGAATAGTCTGAGAAACCCTATCCAATTAAGGACATTTGGCTTTTTTATTTTACTAACTGTAAATCACAGCATGTCCATAAATACCTAGTTGGAAGTTCAGGACCTAAGAAATCACTAGGTTACGTAATTTAAAGGAAGCTTTATTTAGGCTGCTGGGTTTAGTTTAATCATAGCCTGGGATTTCTAAATCAGTGTTTATTATCTTACTTGAATGCTTGCATTGCCACCTCCCACACACTAAAAACAAAAAAAACCCAAAATGTCACTCACTTGTAAAAAAAGTTGCATCCAAGAATGCTACTGCATGTGTGTTTCATTCACTTTATTTGCTTTTTAAGGTGAAAATCCTTTGGCAGATGACCAAAGTAACCATGACATTAACTCAGTTGCTGGAGTACTGAAGCTCTATTTCCGAGGGCTGGAAAATCCTGTCTTTCCTAAGGAAAGATTTAATGATCTTATTTCTTGTATCAGTAAGTAGAAATCTCTGTTTCTCTTTCAATAGAATTTTACTTTCTTATATACAGTGGCAGCCTGAAAAAAGAGCTAACTTCACAGATTTTTCTGAGACAATTTGTTTGCCATTTGTAACAGGCTGGGTCAGTTATTAGTCATACTCGCAGCTGTGGTTGTTCCCTTTTTCCAGTGGGATTAATGTACAGTACAACTCTTTGTTTAATAGGGCAGGAAGAATATCTTTTGGTATACAAGAGATAGTTAAATTTAAATGCATTATTATTTTCCTCTGTGCACTGGGGCAGACAGAAGGGGATGAAGTCATGACCGTGCAAACAGAGTACATGACTTTCCACAAAGGTTTTCATGCCCCGCAGCTTGGAGTCAGCGCTGGTGAATAAGTAACTAACTACCCGACATTGTGTGGTTCTGGACTTTTATTGTGCTCAGCTTAAAACCCTCGATCCAACTGGCAGGAAAACCCTTCAGTGCAGGAACGGAGGGGAGCAGCTGAGTGTTGTCTGCGGAGGAGCCCGTCTGCCTTCCAGCACACAAGTTGTAATGGGATGCCTTGGAGGAGCATTGCATGGGTCTGTGCACTGCTGGTGTTCGTAGCTGGACACAGAGAGGTTGTAGTAATTTAGGAAGTTCTCAGTGGATGAGTGAAGTGCTCTGGCGTGCACAAAACCTCTTCCAGTTCACAGATCCCTGCAGATGTTGAGGAGGGATGGGGCCAAGCCAAGCATCAGTAGGCTTACTGTTCCCTGTGGGTCCATTAGAAGTGGTTGGAGGTACTAGCTTTGTGGAAGAATTTCCTCCTTTCAACCCTTCATTTATGACTTGCCTGCTCCAGCCAAATGGAGAAAGAGGCAGTTTCATAGGTAACGAGGGCCAGTCCTTTGGGATATTAATTAGGGCAGGCTCTCTCCAAACTGTTATTTTGGCAAAGGGGTCTCAGCCCAGCAGACAGGACCGCAGATCGACGTGTGCCCCGTGTGCTGGGCTGGCTGTCGATGGCCTTTTCTGCTCCCTGCTGGAGGAACCAAACAGGTGTGGTTTCCTTCCCGCGTAAGGAGATTTGCAGTAATTCAGCCTGGAGGTTACAAATACACGGATCGCTGTGACCAGGTCTATGTGCAATATGTTGTGTTTCATTTTTTGCGGGGTTTTCTGCAGCTGTTTCTGTTTACAGACTCAGTGGTACTGAGGAGTCCTGAAGGACCTCAAAACCACAGTCTGGTCCCTAATGCTGAGGGGGACACTGTCTCTTTAGGAAGCATCATCTTGGTTCTGCCTGAGTTCAGCTTTAGCTGACTGCGGTGCCACAGCCCAGAAAATGTCTGCGAGTCATAGAAATTGAAATCTAAAAAGGGATCGTTTTGACTGAGTGATTTTCTGCATGACAGGGATGATGGAAATTTACCTAATAATCCTGCGCTGATTTCCATAACTTCTGGATGAATTAAAGCATGTCTGCTGGAAAAATTTATTGACTTAATGGCTTCAGTTGACAGAAAATCTACCACATTCTTGGATAAGCTGTTCAAATGATTAATCACTTTCATCGTTAAACATTTGTACCAGATTTCCTTTTCAAAATTTCTGCTGTCAGATTCTGCCCATTGGATCTCTTTATGACTTTATTATTTTGACTAAGCATTAAGAAAAATATAAATGGTGTTTCTTATTTGTGGAGATGGCATTGCACTCCACTGTGTTGAAGAGCTTTAAATAGAATTGTGCAATACCAAGCATGAGTATTCAGCTTACAGAGACTATACAAGTGAGTGCTTAGGAGGTACAAAAATATTTGCCCAAAACCAACCTTTTAAATGTGCTCCAAGAAGAGGAACCTTGATGATTTCAAAGAGTTTCCATTCACCACTGAAGCTTCTAAAAACAAGATCGGGTATTTGGAAAGAGGAGTAGAAGTTCAATGGACTGAATATGTGTACACGGCACCTGCGCAGGCGGGAGAGATTCACCAACCTCTCAGAGCATCACTGTCTGAGAGGGATCTGGTTCAGTTATCCCAAAACGGTCTTTTGTTATTAACAACTTCAAGAAAAATGGCAATGAATACTAGATCCCTAGTGTTAGGCCTTGGTTTCCTTAGAGGATGTCTAACTATTGCATGTTCAAGGTAGGCAGCAGATTATTTTCTTGTGAAAGAGTTGACAACCCTTTTTTTCGATAATAATATCTTCCAAGAGAGCTGAAATTGGTAACAACCAATAGCCTGGAGCAAAGTCACTGCTTTTCCCAGCCCCATTTTAAAATGGAGCAGTTATTGGGAAAGAGGTGTTGCCATCTGATCCTGGTTTAGACTGGCTGTTCTCTGGGGCTGTCATAAATCTGGATTATCATCTCTGCGACAGCTTGTCAAAATGAGGTGTAATGACAGAGTACTTCTGCTGGGTTTGACTTCTGCTATTGCTGTTACAGAAGACAGCAGAGGATTTTTTTCCTGGTAATGTGTTGTAAGAGTCCCAGATCTATTTCTGGCACGTTTTGGAGGAAGCCAGGGGAGGATGATTTTGTTGTTTGGTTTGGTTTCCACAAGGTTATCGTTAGGGGCACTCTGAAATGTCATGTCAGTACCTTCCTTCAGTGGAGGGAGGAGAGGTGGGTTTGGAACATGGCAGGACAAAAGGGATTTTCTCTTTGAGCACACTGGGGTGAGTTTACTTTGTGTTGTCACCGTGAGGGGTTTGAATGTGGTGTGAGGAGAGAAAGAAACAGCTCTTGTGCCTTGCACCCACAGCCAGACCCAGAACCGCACGCTGGGAACAGTGGGCTGTGTGTCTGCACCCTCTGATGATCTGAGAAGCCCGAGGTAGAGTGTTTTTACAGCTGTGTACCGACTCTATGTGCTTTGTTAAGTGGTCCACCACTTCCAGGGAATAAGATACTTTTTTAAAATAAAAAACAACAACAACAAGCATTTCAGAATATACTACCTATCACAGTATAGTTTAAATAGCACCTGCATGGCATCTGCTATCAAAAACAGTCGATCTCAAAGATCCTTTCCATTGCTATCTTTTATCCTTAATGCTTTGTATATCTTGCAAAAGGGAAGGCAGTCTAGGCAAGATTTTTCTCCCGCTTCAAACTTTGAACCTGTCATAGTTGCATTAGTTTCTTTTTCTGTGCTCATGTGGCCTCACATATTAAGTATGTTGGTCTTCGTGTTGATGGGAGCAGCACCAGACTCCCTTTCCTCTGTGGGAGCACACGTTACTGCAGCTTTTTTAGATCAAGTGATATGTAAAGTCCAGAAAGCTTTCACATTTTTAATTAAAAGAGTTTAAATACTCTTAATTCATATTGCATTCACTATCTGATAAACAGTAAGGAAAGGAATAAAGATTAAGTTGTTTTCAAATAGTTTTTCAAGATACATATGATTGTGATTTTTTTTAATCGTTGGCAAAAATTGTTATAAAAAGGGGGAAGGAGAAAGCAAATTAATGTTCACATAAAACTGTAAAAGGGCAGAATGTCACACATTTTATATGGAAATGTAATGTTCCCAGTGAAAAACCCCTTGAAACTGAAGTACTTAGTTATGGATGTCAAGCATAATTGAGGCTACAGCTGCAAAATGAACCTTTCCTCAGTACAGCCACTGAGGAATTCCTTTGCATTTATGCATGTATTTCCAAATGAAATAGAGCATTGTGATTTAATGCTTTCCCTTTTGCAAATACAGTGGAAACAGTGCAAAATTACTGTGACTTTTAAGGCAATTTGTATTAATTAGACTCATGAGAACAATGTTATTCTGTTTGGGCTTATGAACTGTTTTAGATAAAATTTGGGCCAAATTATGACTTCTTCAGAGCAAGTATGAAAGGCAGGACAGGACGTAAAGAATCCATCTGATTATGGACCGTAATTCTGCATTCTCAGCAAAAGGGGTGGCTACTATTGCCCCCAACAGCACCCAGCAATCCAGAGGGTAAAATAAGGAGGGGAAGAAGGGAGGAGAGTTGCACTGCACTTCTCTTCTGCCCCTTTGCAGAAACAGGTTGGGCCAAACACAAGCAAAGTATTTGTAACAGGAGTTACATGGAGGCAGAGGGTACTGAAGGTGTGCTTGGGGCTGGCTGTAATTCCCTTTCACTGCCCCGGGACTGCAGTTCCTCTCCTGCTGTGAGTTCTTACACACGTGAGTTCCAGTTCACTTCTACACCCATAGCTGTGCAATGCAGCGGCAGACACATCTCAGCTATCCAGACTGCTTGGCTTCTGCTCGGGTCATTATAATTCTTCTTGGTTTCATCTCCCTTGCCTTAAATTTGATATACTAGGATGCCAGGATGGATGAGAACTTACATCTTTTTTCCTTCTGATTTTCATCATTTCAGTCCTCTGTTGCCAGCAGTGCCCATTTACCTAAAGGCATAAATATTGTGAAAGGAAATTATTTTATTGCTTTTCCAGACTATTGCCCTTTACTTAAAAAGTAAAAAACCATATTCTGAATTGTCGACTCTTCCTGAAAAAGTTTCAACACAATGACAACTGTTTCCTTCCCTAAGTGACAGTGGAGACCATTGTGTTTGCCGTCCTGTAATGCCTTCTTAAATAGATGTGAAAAAGCGGTAAGTGGGATTGCTGAGTTAATATATACGTCTCTTTGAGTTGGATTCCTCTCACCTACCAAAGTGGAAAGAGGCACAAATTGTTAACTTCAGCACTAATACATATTCATGTAGATTACTTGTCAGCTGCAAATTGACCATAAAAATTACATCTGCAAGTGTAACTCAGTCCCATTTGACGTTCAGCGGGTGTGTAAAATACACATTAAGCATTCACTCTGTTACTAGTAGGCGCCGCACCAACTGGAAGTAACAAGCGACCGCCACATAGAGATACCACATTGGATTTTATCCTTCAAAACAGTGGTCCTAAAGGAGAGAGATATCTTACGTTACCATTGTTCGCTTGCTTCTTCCTCCTCTGTGCTACCCTTGCCTGTGAAATGTGCTTAGCTTGCACAGCACTG